ATTATTATTATTATTATTATTATTATTATTATACCTGTTGATATTCTGATAAGGCCATTGCGTAGATGCCTAATTGTAACCTCTGCCTGTTACGTGACATAGAAAGTGTGCATGTGCTTAGATGTGTTAATCTGGAAGCTTATAAAATTTGACCTGCTCTTGGAGGCCTTCTGAATTCATTCCCCAGAGGCTGCTGCTTTGACTGAAATAAAGGTGACTTAAACATCACAGCTGGTATAGTTAATTGAACAAAATCCACGGCACATGTCCAAAGTGAGTGACATTCTGCATTGACATGATGTAGCTGATGAATCACTCAGTCAGATTCATTTGCTAAAAGCCACTGGTCATCACCCAACACCCCCCTAGTTCATGCATTGGTTATGGCAAGACTGGATTACTGCAATCCGCTCTATAGGAGTTTTCACTTGTGCTTGATTTAGAAGCTGCAGTTAGTGCAAAATGCTGCACCATGATTGTTTAGTAGTTAGGCCTTGTTGGCATATAACCCCCTGCTCAGAGTGCTGCACTGGTTGTCGATTTGCTACTGGAGCAAGTTCAAAGTTTTACCATTAGTATACAAAGTCCTTAGCAACCTTAACAACTGTTTATCTGTGGGACCGTCTTACCTCATAGATGCCCTCTCAAGGTGTGTTGTGTGTGGTGCCCACCGTTGGCTCGACAGTTTGCAAATGGGGCAATGGGCCCCAAAGGTTTACTGACCCCTGACTTAGCAGTTTTACTTTTGTTGGGAGAATAGGCCTTTGCATAACTAAAGAGATGGTCAAGTACAGGCTGTGTGTCACCACAGACACTAAATAGCTGGAGATCCTTCAGCAACAGTCAAGACAAAAAAATCCACCAAAACAATTACTACATTTCCGTGCAAATTACAGTCAAGAGAATAGAGTCAAATGGTTGCAATGCAACAACTTAAACATACCATGTTACAGCAATTTGTTTCAACTTATTTTTATATTGTAATTTTTATATTGTTTCAGCCCACCCCAGGAAATCTAAATTATGACAACAACATATACCGGTAATCCGTAGTGAGCAATATCATCCATCTCTCTCTGACCAGAAAGGGATAGGTAACAATTTACAGGTATTGCAGTAGTGTGCACCCTCTAAGTCTGCTGTGGCAATTGATTGAAATCCCAGGGCAGTAAATGACAGATAAATTGAAAAACAATAGGGTGATACTTGACACTAGTCCTACTCAGAGTAGATGCATTGAAGTTACTGGGTGTGACTAACTTGGTTTCATTAAGCCTAGTGGGTCTACACTCAGTGTGGAATACCATAATCAAATCTAAAGTAATAATAACATGGTGAGAATTGCATTGTTTGAAGAGAACATTGACTTAACAAAACCCCCCACTCCTTCGCTCTACTTTTAATGCTCTCGGATCATAGTAGAGTTGGAAAGCACCCAAAGGGTCATTTCCCTGCAATGCAGGAATATACAGCTAAGGTATATGATGGTCTTGTTGGTTCAAATTGGCCCAGGGGGCCTATGTGTGTATGGAGGGAGCCTTGCCACAGAAACTCCTGGAACTGAAAACTCCTTTGTATGAGCAGTCAGGATTCTGCTGTGTGTTTAATGGCAGCAATGGAGACGCCAGAATCCCCAAAAAGTGGGATGTGTCAGAGAAGGTCAGTATGGGTCTGATGAGCCAGAGTGTAAGTCACTTCTGGTTCCCCCTTCCACTATTTTACCTTGTGGTGAGATAACCTTGCTTCTCTAATGAACTTCTGGATTCAGAATGTTTGACTGCAGATGAAGGGGCCTGTTTGTTGATGTAAAGGTTGCTCATCCAGTGTAGCTCTTTCATGTATAAAGAAGCACTCAGCAACCCAGCCTTTGGTTTTGTATATACAGTTCATAGGACACCTGCAGCATAATGAATTGCTTGCTTCTGTGAAAAATGGAAATCCAGTGGAACCGATTCTCTGGCCAGCTAGTAAATGTGGATAATTGAGCCCATCAAATGCTAATATCCATTTGATAAAACTATTTTTATCAAATGGCTCAGTCTTTCCACTCCAGCACCCAGAGGACTTTATTAAATGGTGAGGCTGATGTTTACAGGGTTTTCTGTATCATTTATGTACGTAACTTCTGCCCCAGCCACCCCCCCAAAAAAAACCACATTTTAATTATATAGCAACAAAACCATCCAGTTTTTTTTCCCTTTTCTTCCTATGGCTGGTAACTGAATTAGCGGCCAGTTATAGACTGTTTCCCATGTTGTCTTGCAGAATCCGGATCCATATTTATGAGCTGATCAGGTCCCTCTCTCTCCAGGCTGCCCCTCCATTACCAAAGAGGATTTAATCAGATGCTAAAAGGATTTATTCTAATACTGGTTTTGAATGATGTGTGAATGTGAAAATGGTGTAGATGTATGCTTAGGAACATTTCAGTACACAGTGCTGTGCTCATCAAGTAAACACCATTATATTAATTATTTCTACAGAAGACCTTTGTGCTCCAGTTCCTGACTGAAATTTTCTTTCAAACTACTTTCCAAAACAAATTTCTCTTTTACACAAGAGTTTGTGGTGGCCAGACCAGGGCAAGTCTATGGCTAAACTTATGCACGTCAAATTCCTTGGCAGTCGGTGCAGAGAACTTGTTGAATTACAGATTTGGCATAGGACATTTAATTATTGGCTTTGGCTGAATTTAACCCCCACTGGTCTACTACCCCTAGTATTGCAAGACTGTCACAAGAGCAACAGGACTAAAATTGTCATCCAAAAACTTTACTCCTCTGGTTCATCACAACAGTTATTATCATTGGGCTTCTGCAAAGCAGATAATTTAATTAGACAGCACTTTATATATCGAATGACAGATTAATTTGGCCACGGTAAAGGAAATTTTGTCCATGGTATGATTATTTCTCACCTAGTCTTCTTGACACATTGGCACCCTACTTGCAAAATTTAAGTCCCAAAATACAGATGTGCTTTCACTTATGCAAGATTGAACATACTGCATTCCGCTGTTCTGCAGGGTTGGTGTAAAAAAATTCCACCGAAAAATCATTTATGTCCATGTGGAGATGGCAGTATTGAATCAATAGCTCATGTACTGCTAGATGATATTCTTTATAAAGATTTGAGGAGTGAGGTTATTACCCCTCTACTATACCAGGTTACTCAACCATTGCCACTATGTCTTTTCTTCTGACAGCTCAAAATATCCAGGTGACAGCAAAAACTGCAAAACATTTAGCAGGTACAATTAGAATAAGATCTAATATTTGATTAATTTTTTAACATTGTTCAGCTCATATATATATATATATATATATATATATATATATATATATGATTTATTGGTTTACAAAATTATGTGCAATGTCTCTTTTCCCAAGTTACGTTTTCTACAGATCAGTTACATTTGTTGAGACATTAGTGTCACATAAGGAAGAAAAGCAGGGAAAGAGGTGGAGGGGGGGCATGGCTTCTGTTTCACTTAGTGTATGTGTGGGGTTTTATGTCAGCGTCACTTGTGTGGGTTCTCTTTACTATTTGCCTGTATTCCTTTGGTGGTGAGAGAGAGGTTGGGGTTGGCCTAGGGTGTGGTTGTTTGTTTGTGATTGGCTGTGGTGAACTTTGTTTTCATGTATGAGTGGGGAGGGTGTGTGTGTGTGTGTGTGTTTGGATCTGGTTAGCCATGCTGATTCGCATGGTGTTGGCGGGTTCTTGTTGGGTTCTGTATGTGATAAAGGGTAACCATACAGGGGTGAAGGCGTCTTCTTCTATTTGTCCTTGTGTCAGTTTCAGTTTGTTGGTTAGTTTTTCTAATAAGGCTATTTTCCATACTATTTGATAACATTGGTCTATGCTTACTCCTGACAGGTCACTGCCCAGCATTTTTTTTTAAAAATCAAAATAAAGCCTATTGGCTCACATGTTTGGTCTGTGACTAAAGGATCATGTATCAGTTTTGTCATTTGTATTGATGTAAAACTCCAGAACGTATTTTGTATAGTCAACTGTTTAACTCTATCCCCAGTATATTTTATCTTATCACTATGGCTAGTGGCTAATGCAAATAAAGTTTCTATCTTGTCCATTCTGAAAAATGGCATCAGTGCCTGAAGACCCAATTCCTCTTGAGGAGGATATAAGTACATAATAGCCTGATACCAGTAGAGGAACTGGGGGTCTCAAATTTCAGTGGCACCCTGTGCGGTGCCAAAATTTGGTGCCCCTTGCCTCTTTTGCTCTTGTTGCATGTTTGAATGGGAAATGGTAGAGGAGAGTTCTACACATCACTTGGAATACAAAGTTGGGATCCATTCACAAGCTCAGCTGTCAGTGATGGATCAGTTCTGGCAAGGCAAAGCCAATGAGAGTATGTAGATCCTGCAAGAAATCTCTTGAAGGAAAGGAAAATAATGAGCAGGACTCAACTCTGGATCAATATGGAGAGTAGAAGACAACTAACTGATGCAGTCAATTTTAAACTAATTGCAAACATAATGTTTGACTGTACATTGCATATTCATGGGATGTTTCTTGTTGGGTGGTGGTATAAGGGAATTGTTATATATATGGAAACTGAAAAATAAAGTTAAGAAGTGGGGGGAAGCAGCCAAGAAACAAGACTTTCAGGACTTGAACAGAGAACAGGGATCAGAGCGCCTGTTCCAAGAGGCACTCAGCCTCAGCTGTGCTAATACCTCTTCTTAGCTTGGATGGAGGGGGTGTGTGTGTGTGTGTGTGTGTGTGTGTGTGTAGCAGCTTCTGGCTTCTGTGTGGCTGGAAGGTAGCCTACTTCACCTAGAGTCACTGCTGCTATTCTGCCCACTTTCTGCCTCAAGCCCTGTCTGGATGGGGGTGAACAGAGCTTACAAATTGCAAGTCTCCTGCTACTTAGAACAGCAAATTAATGTGCACCTTCACTCATTTGCCCCATCTAATGTTTATACAATCACAAGCCATCAAACACTGATTCCTCCATTTCATTTAATTAGCAGTCATGACTATTTTACTGCAATGGCCAATTAGGAAAAAATCACCTCTTTTTCCCCAGCAGAGACAAACAGAAGTCACACTGTATGATTTCCTTGTTTTTACTTTCTGTTCATGAAGGGATGGGAGGAGATAGAAGCAGATCAAAGCAGGGAAAAGAATTTGCCGTTAGAAAACAGTCCCATATAGAGAAAACAGTCCCATGGAGTATTTGCTCCCTCCTCCCCCATGCTTCCCTGGGAAGATTCCTCCCCACACATGTTGTTTCTCTTCAGTTGGCTGATAAGGTCAGTTAGGCCTGCTGGAGCAGATAGTAGCCAAGCAGACTGTCTGAAAAATCCCAAATAGGAGCAGAAGGAGAGAGAGCAGCAGGATGGGTGGCTTCCCTGAGCAAAAAAAAGACCAAGGGAATGCTGCAGATCCAGGAACTTTGTTCCACAGAATCATAGAATTATAGAGTTGGATGGGACCCCAAGGGTCATGTAGTCCAACCCACTGCAATGCAGGAATCACAGCTAAAGGGTCCCAAACAGATGGCCATCCAGCCTCTCTCTAAAAAACCCCAATGAAGGGGAGTCCAATGCCTTCCAAGGGTGTCTGTTCTGCTGCTGCAGAGCTCTTCCTGATGTATAGCGCAATCTCCTTTCTTATAATATGAAAAATTGCTCCGGATTGATCCTTGCTTGTCAGCTGGCTCCCCAAGTTCTGGAGGATTACAGGATTATTGTATAAATGTGCCAGATTAAACTTATTGGGGCTTACTTTGAGTCCTGAATAGAAAGTAGAAAACTAGGCACTGGATGGCATTTGGAGATGTTTCCTTTTTTATTTTCCCTAAGAGGACAACATCACGGGTGGTTTTGAAACATAGCTCCCAAAGTGATTTATTTTTATTTTTATTTTGCAAAAGGCATTTCAAGGCACTTCCTCCTTGCATGCAGCTCAAAGGCCACAAAAACCTCCGCCACTCCTCTCCAGATGTTAGTGCTTTTTTGTAGACATAAGCTTGAACCCTTCGTCTAGTATGGACCTCCTGTTGCGTCTCAGCCTCTTTTGTCTCTGCAGGTAAATTATCACTCCCAGAAAGGTGCAGGCAATGAGGAACAGCAAGACACCGGTGACGGCAAGGAAAATAATGGTCGCCTCTACTTGGCTATGGGCGAGTTTTGACCCGAACAAAACAAAGTGATGGCCATTGTCTTCATCTTCAGGAGGTGTCTCTGAGGACAAATGGATGATGAAAGGTCACTTTTTGTGGGCGGGTGGGGAGGAAATGAGACTGCATTAACGGAAGTTAACAGTACAGAATGACAGCAGCAAACAACCACTCTGCTGTCTTTTCAGTTTAAGAGCAAATTCACATTTTCCAAGGAAAAACAGGTACTAAGTCTGCAAAACCTCCACACAGTTAGATAGCTAGATGAGCAATAAGGCTAGTAGAGGAATCTTTTTCATTACCAGGAAAAGTTCAACCTGTTACTTGTACCATGCAAAGAACTTGGAACAACTTGGAACCAGTCCTTAGCCCACTTGACCACTTCGATCGCTGGAAATTATTTATTTATTTATTTATTTATTATTGTATTGTATTACAATTTGAATTCCATGGAGTGTTACGTTTGCACAGATGTCAGCCATAACAACGGCTAACTGGGCTTCCATCTTAACCAGAGTTTGAACACTGTTTGCAAACCATGGCTAAGAGGGAATCTTCCTAGCATTAGATGCAGTTAGTCAGTGAAGATGTAATAGCAAACTGTGGCTAAAGCTGACAAGGTTAATGGCTGCTTACCTGGGAAGCAGCAGTTTGCAGCCTGGTGCAGCCACGGCCCAATGTGTGGGCCATCTTCGGCACAGCATGACCACTGGGGGATGTTAGAACCTCCCCCCCTTGGCCATGTGGTTTGGCACCCAAACCCTTTCAAATGGGCCAATTAGGAGGCTGTGTGTGAGACAGAGGTTGTGGCAACAGGCCTGGCTTCACTCAGGTAGTATCACTCAGGCTTCACTCCCTGTAGTATATATCCAGGCCGCAACCAGACCTCTGCAACTCAGATTGCCATGGGATTCCATCTTAAGTCTCAACATAGTTTGCAAACCATGACTAAGAGGGAATTTTCCTAGCGTTAGCTAGTCAGAGTCAGTGAAGATGTACAGTGACGGGGGAGGGGGGAAGTATTTGATCCCGTGCACATCAATCTCTGACTTTTGTCTTCTTGGTTTCTGGGGGCTTTCCTGATGTTATTCTGTCTCTCACACCTACAATAAACCTACCATTAAAATTATGGACTGTTCATTTCTTCTTCAGAGGCCAAACAGGCAAAGTTAGCAGGGGATCAAATACTCCCCCCCCTCACTGTAACAACAAACCATGGTTAAAGCTGACAAGATAATTTGCAATGGTTATGGAAGAAGGGAGCAGGGTAGAGTGCACACAGAGAACACTGACTCCCAGTTTGCACTCACAGAATCATGGAATTGGAAGGAACCCAAATGGTAACCTGATCAAGCCTGTGCAGTGCATGGGGTTTGCAGGGAGCCAGCAGCACTGGACCATTGGGTGAACTTGAGGAATGAAAGGAGAATAATGGTGGACAAAAGGGGTGCCTTGCTAGGCTTCACACCGGGAATTGTCCTTATTCAAGAATGCTCAAAAGGGGTATAAACCTGAGATGCAATGACAGCCATACCTGTATAGGAATTGGTCTTCAGAAGCACTGAATCTGAAAAGAAAGTACACAATTTAGTAGGAAGCTACTGGGAAGCACAAAAGGATGGCATAGGAAGCTGTGTTCTACTTAGACAAATGACGTCCATCCAATGTAACAGTTGCTGGGAAAAGATCTCCAAGGTTTCAGGCAGGGGACAACTCCCAGTCCTACCTAGAGATTCTGGGGACTGAATCTGGGACCTTCTGCATTCAAAGAAGATCTTCTAAGCACCAAACTGTGGCCCTTCCCAAGCACTGGGACACTGTACTGGAAATATTTTTTATGGGGGAACTGTTTTTAAATGTTCACATTGTTTTTAATAGTTTTTCCACTTCCTTCTTGGGCTGCAAACTGTTTTATTTGTTTTGTAATTGCATATTTTACCCACCCTCTGACCCGGTGGTGAAGGGTGGGTAAGAAATGAGACAAAACAAATAAGCACAAGAGATCCCTGTGTTCAAGCCAGATAAAATGGGTGTCTGTAGCACCACATTCTAATATTAAGAACACAAGAATAGCCTGCTGGATCAGGCCAATGGCCCCATCTAGTCCGGCATCCTGTTCACATAGTGGCCAACCAGATGCCTGTGGGAAACCTGCAAGCAGGATTCAAGCACAAGAGCACCCTTCCCTCCTGTGAGTTCCAGCAACTGGTTTTCAGAAGCATTTCCTCCCTCCGACTGTAGAGGGCAGAGCATAGCCATCAATAGCCCTCTCCTCTTCCACGAATTTGTCTAATAATCTTTCAAGGCAATCTAGGTTGCTTGGCATCAACTGCCGGCTGTGGGAGAGATTTCTATGGCTTAACTGTGCTTTTGCACTCCTCTTGTGGCTTCGTCCTTGGCTCTGCTCTGCTTTTCCTCCTCCTGTTCTTCCATCAGTCCATCCGTCTGAGTGCATGGACAGGCAAGGCGGGTTTCTAGCCACTCGGTGCCAGAGTGGAGAGGCTCAATTTTTGTGTGTCCCTCCCCACCCCACCCCGGACCTGCACCCTTGGTGGGGGCAACCTAACCAGCCCCTAGGTACAACCCTGACAAAGGCTCTAAATAAAATAATGGTAATGATATAATGATAATGATGTTGATAAAAACCAACCTGTTCTCTCCTTACCATGCTTAGGAAAGACTGTGAAGAGGGTTTCCATTCCAGCATGGATGTGATCGGCCACATGGCAATGAAGCAGCCATGTTCCAGGATTGCCAACCAGCATCTCCACCACTTCAAAGGTCCCGGGGAAGAGGTCCGCCACATCTGCTCTGTACGTCTTGCCACTCTGTCGTGTGGGGAGGACCCAGAGAGCAAACATTACTTTGGAACAGGGAGGGCTGCCCCTGCAAGGCTACTGCCTGCACCAAGAAGAGCTGGGTTGCTGGGCCAGGAAAGTCGAATCATGTGACTTCTACCTATAAGGTAAGTTGTTTTGGTGTGTGTGTTTTTTTAAAGTACTGTACATTTATTCTGCAGTCTCGTTGATTTTTAGGTAAAGGTAAAGGGACCCATGGGACGCGGGTGGCCAAGGACTTGCCGATCAGAAGGTCGGCGGTTTGAATCCCCGCAATGGGGTGAGCTCCCGTTGCTCGGTCCCTGCTCCTGCCAACCTAGCAGTTTGAAAGCACATCATAGTGCAAGTCGATAAATAGGTACCACTCCGGCGGGAAGGTAAACGGCGTTTCTGTGCACTGCTCTGGTTCGCCAGAAGCAGCTTAGTCATGCTGGCCACATGACCTGGAAGCTGTACACCAGCTCCCTCGTCCAATAAAGCGAGATGAGCGCTGCAACCTGAGAGTCGGCCATAACTGGACTTAATGGTCAGGATCCCTTTACCTTTAAAGGGACCCCTGACCTTTAAGTTCAGTCACTGACGACTCTGGGGTTGTGGCACTCATCTCGCTTTATTGGCCGAGGGAGCCGGCGTTTGTCCGCAGACAGCTTCCGGGTCATGTGGCCAGCATGACTAAGCCGCTTCTGGCGAACCAGAGCAGCGCACGGAAATGCCGTTTACCTTCCTGTCAGAGTGGTACCTATTTATCTACTTGCACTTTGACGTGCTTTCGAACTGCTAGGTTGGCAGGAGCTGGGACCGAGCAACGGGATCTCACCCCGTCGCAGGGATTCGAACCGCCAACCTTCTGATTAGCAAGCCCTAGGCTGTGTGGTTTAGACCACAGCGCCACCTGCATTTATTTGGGTTCAAATCCCCACTTGGCATTAAGTTCACTGAGTGTGACTTTGGGGGCCAGTCATTGCCTCCCAGCCTAACCTACACTACAAAGTTGTTGTGAGGATAAAATCAGGAGGGGGAGAACAATGTATGCCACCTTGGGGTATAAATGTGGGATTTAAAAAATAAAATAAAAAAGGTTGTCGTCCCCCCTGGCTTAAAAATAAAAAAGGTAAGTATCTCATTAGTTGCCTCTAGAAGCAACACAGGGATTGTCATAAGAATGTAAGAGCCTACAGCTGCATCAGGCCCATGGCCCAATCTAGTCCAGCACCTTGTTCTCACAGTGGCCAACCACTGTGGGGAACCTGCAAGGAGGATCTGAGCACAAGAGCCACTCTCCCTTCCTTTATTTCCAGCATCCAGTATTCAGAAGCATGGCTGCCTCCAGAACTATGGAGGCAGAGCACAGCTGCTGTGGTCAATAGCCATTGATAGCCCTCTCCTCCATTAACTTGGCCAATTGTCCCTGGAGTCATCTTCCAGGTTGGTGGCCATCACTGCCTACTGTGGGAGTGAGTTCCACAGTCTGTGTGCTGCATAAACAAGGACTTTCCTGCAGTGGTGTAGCGTGGGTTGTCAGCACCCAGGGCAAGGCAAGTAATTTGCGCCCCCTAACCCGTGGATTTGCGCCCCCTAACCTGTGGATTTGCCCTAACCCCAGATGTTGTGCCCGGTGCGGCCGGCCCCCCCTGCACCTCCCACGCTACGCCACTGCTTTCCTGAATCTCCCAACATTCACCTTCACTGGGCATCCAGGAATTCTGGTGTTATGAAAACTTTTCTCTGTCCACTTTTCCTCCATGCCCTGTATAATTTAATAAATGCCTGTCATGTCACCTCTTGTTTTTTCTTTAAACAAAAACTTTTCATGTTAACTTTATGGGAGGGGGTGAAGCTCAGAAGGACACTGACCCCACAGCTCTACATATACGGGCAGAGCACTGCATGGATTCATTACATGGGAAAGCTCTGCTTTGTAGCAGCAGACTGACATTACATAGCGTCGTAAGGTTATTCAAGCAACAGCTTCAAATGCTCACCCGATAAAGGAAGGTCTCAGCGTGGAAATGAACTGTGTGGATGTCAATCTCCTGGCCCATTCCCAGCAGGTACCAGTTCACCCAGTCTCCTTCGTACATTGTCAGCCCAGGCAAGTTTGCATAGAGTTTACCATTGATGGCTAAGCGGGAGGAAGGAAGGAAGAAAAAGTCTGCTTATTGATAGAACAGAATCTGTTTGGTTCATGAAATATTGCAAACTGCTGCTAAGGGGCACTGCTGGTTTTGTTGGAAGCCGCCCAGAGTGGCTAGGGAAACCCAGCCAGATGGGCGGGGTACAAATAATAAATAATAATTATTATTATTATTATTATTATTATTATTATTATTATTATTATTATTGTAATGGCACAGAGCTGCTATCCATAAAGACGGTAGCAACTCACCTTGAAGCCTAAAAGTCAGAAAAGATTACAAGGTTTCAATGCATCCTAATAACTTACATTTTTTGTCCATCTTATACCCACAGGGGTACAGTTACTGACTGGGGCTGGTGAGAATTGTAGTCCAAAACAGTTATGGGGGCTACTAAGTTGGGGAAGGCTGAAATATTTGATCTTAAGATCCTCACTTCTGAGACACCAGGAACTGTTACAATCTCTTGGGATGCTTCTGTGGGTGGGATATCCCCCCCCCCACATACAATGGGATCTGGTTGACCACCCTATCTGGGAATAAAGAGGAACCTTCCCTAGGAAAGGTTGTCTAGCAACTCCGGTAACGGTTTTAGTTGCCTCTCCCTATAATGTAGCTAGGTAAAGGTAAAGGGACCCCTGACCATTAGGTCCAGTCGTGATCGACTCTGGGGTTGCGGTGCTCATCTCGCTTTATTGGCCGAGGGAGCCGGCGTACAGCTTCTGGGTCATGTGGCCAGCATGACTAAGCCACTTCTGGCGAACCAGAGCAGTGCACGGAAACGCCGTTTACCTTCCCGCCGGAGCGGTACCTATTTATCTACTTGCACTTTGACGTGTTTTCGAACTTCTAGGTTGGCAGGAGCAGGGACTGAGCAACGGGAGCTCACCCCGTCGCAGGGATTTGAACCGCCAACCTTCTGATCAGCAAGCCCTAGGCTCAGTGGTTTAACCCACAGTGCCACCCGCATCCCATAATGTAGCTACATTACATTATATTACATTTATATCCCACCTTTCTTCCAAGAAGCTCAATGTGGTATACATGGATTTATGTCTTCCTTTCCTATCCCCACAACAACCCTGTGAGGTAGGGTAGGCTGATAGACAGTGACTGGCCCAAGGTCACCCAGTGAGCTTCATGGCCGAGTGGGGACTAGAACCCCAGTCTCCACGGTTTTAATCCAATACTCTTGACCACTATGCCACATCGACTTTCCCTCTCTTCTTTACAGAAGTCATCTCAGGTGCTTTGCTTCTGTGTGTCCTTCCTGCAACACCCCTGCTCTCCCTAGTGGCAGGGTTCAGAGGTTTGGGGTTGAGTTGGTCTGGTTTCATTAACATTATCAGTGGATTCTAACTTAGAAAGGGCATCTAAGGTACAGCCAAAAGTCAAATCCTAGCAACATCTGAGTCTTTCACGGATTACTTCCAGGAAATAATCATGTGCAAATTGCTACACAGCAGGCTTTTTTCTTTCACAACTTAGCAACAATTAGAGAGAAAAGCTAATGGCTGAAAGTGGCAGGTTCTGAAGTCTGTGCTGCTGCACTTTTCCAATAAAAGGGCGCTCCCCTGTGAAGTCTGAGTTCCTTCCTTAGTCCTCCCTCTTCAGAAGGTGTGTTTAATGGTCCTGAGTGCAGGGTGCTAAGCAACACCTTCTCGACTCTTGAAACATTGGGTGAGGGCACAAAGTGGAATTGAACCTTACACTAAACATTCTCCTGAGTTCTCTGCCCAGCTTCCCCAACACAACAGGTAGTTGGTGTGGCCAACCTCATCACACCATAGTGCTGTGGGCCTCCCCCTCTACCCTCTGAACATCAGAAGAGCCTGCTGGACCAGGCCAACGATTCACCTACTCCAGCATCCTCTTCTCACAGTGCCCAACTGAATGCAAGCAGAATTTGAACACAAGTCCGCTTACCCCTTTTGGTGAGGAAGCATTGCAAGATGGCAGAGGCTTCACCTGGCTCCCCATGAGGGAACTGGAACAGCAGTGCCCTTCTTGATAGTCAGTGGGGGCTTAAGCCCTCTCCGCCTATCAGGAACTGTATCCTAGCCTGTACTTGGCTTTGGCTAATGAGGATGCAGGCTGGGACATGGGCTGTGCCAGAGGGCAGAGCAGATGGAGCCAACAGTGGGCTTCCCTCAGATCCGCCCCTTGCCCATTTACCGTACTTTTCGGTCTATAGGATGCACCGGACCATAGGACGCACCCGACCACAGGAGGGGGAAAACAGGGGGGGGAATTCTCCCCCTCTCTGCACAGCGCCCCTTCAGCGAAGCGGCAGGAGAAACGGAGCCCCTTCCATTTCTCCTCCCGCTTCGCTGAAGGGGCGCTGCGCAGAGAGGGAAAACTGTGCAGCGCCTCTCCAGCAAAGCTAAGCCTGGAGAGCAAGAGGGATCGGTGTGCACCGACCCCTCCCACTCTCCAGGCTTCAGGCGGTTATCCGCAAGCCTTCAGAGCGCAGCAAGAACTCCCCTTGCTCTCTGAAGGCTTGCAGATAGCTGCCTGAAGTCCCCTGAGTGCAGCGGCAGTTCGCGCTGCGCTGCGGGTGCTTCAGGTGGCTATCCGCAAGCCTTCGGAGCGCAGCGCTGTGCTCCGAAGGCTTGCAGATAGCTGCCTGAAACCCCCGGAGTGCAGTGGCAGTTCGCGCTGCACTCCGGGGGCTTCAGGCTTCTCCTTTTTAGCCACGGGGCTGGGGCAGGGAAAGCCTGAGCTTCCCCCAACCCCAGCCCCCAGAACAGGTCCGGGAGCGGCGGCAAGGTTGCAAGGGACCCCTGACCGTTAGGTCCAGTCATGACTGACTCTGGGGTTGTGGCACTCACTTTATTGGCCGAGGGAGCCGGTGTACAGCTTCCAGGTCATGTGTCCAGCATGACTAAGCCGCTTCTGGCAAACCAGAGCGGCACACGGAAACGGCGTTTACCTTCCCGCCGGAGCGGTATCTATTTATCTACTTGAACTTTGACATGCTTTCGAACTGCTATGTTGACAGGAGCAGGGACCAAGCAATGGGAGCTCACCCCGTTGCGGGGATTCGAACCACTGACCGTCTGATCGGCAAGCCCTAGGCTCTGTGGTTTAACCCACAGCGCCACCCGCGTCCCTTATTGGTCTCTTATTTGCATGGGTTGGGGTAGGGGAGCCCGATTCCTGGTCCTGCAAGACCAGGGGCTTCAGAAGTATTGCTGCCTATCTTATAAATATTATAGTTATTGCTGCTGTTATCATTTATTTATTACTTGCCCTTCACCAGCAGGTCCCAAGACAGTTTGCTAAAGTTTAAACGGAAATACTAAAACCAGTTAACACAGATTACAGTCATCAGAATAAGGTGGGTTCTGAAAACACATAATACCTTGGTTGAAAGGCGGTAGAGAGGTCCCTTTCTTTTCCCTACCCCCATAGCCTTTATAGCCTTTCCAGTGAGAAACCCAAATAAATAAATATGAACATTATTTATTTATTTGGTAACAGTGGTAAATAGATGTCCCAGGTGTTTTTTTATAATACAGACAATTCTAGGCAACACTTTGCAATCCAGGGCAAAGGCAGGCAGCCATGCAGGACAAAAAAGTAATAACACAAAGTCACCGTGCATCTTGTTGCTCTCCAGAAACTCTTCGTCCTCTCGGTGGGAATGAACCCAGTCCCCTTGGGCATACTTTTGCACATTCTCCTCCAGGTACCAGGACTGATTTTCATCAAAAATCAAGAAGAGGAGTGCAAACTCCTTGTTGACACCTTTCCTTCTCCCATCTAAATCCAGCGTCCCTTTACGGCAGACCTTTAGGGGGCCAATGAGACCACTGAACACATCCTGGGGGTAAAAGGGCAGAGAAAAGTTAGGAAGGTTATCCTAGCAGTTTTACTTATAGACTCCTGTTAGCTGTGGCAGCTTCTGGAACCAAAAGAATTCTCCTCCAAAGTACAGTCATACCTCGAGTTGAATGCGCTTCGGGTTGAGCGCATTCGTGTTGCGCTCCGCAGCAACCCGGAAGTAACGGAGTGCGCTACTTCTGGGTTTCACTGCTCGCACATGTGCAGACGCTCAAAATGACATCACACGCATGCGCGGAAGCAGCGAAACGTGACCCGCGCATGCGCGCAGATGCATCTTGCATTCCGTTCAGGATGCAAATGGGGCTCCGGAACGGATCCCATTTGCATCCTGAGGTACCACTGTACATTCTATGGGCTACAACCAAGGATTTCTATAAACCAGGGTTTCCCAAACTGCCATATGTCTGGATTTTCCCAGACGTTACTGGGATTTCAAAGGTGGAATTGGCACCTGGGAGTGATTTCTGAAAGGTGGCACATTGTCTTTTTTCTCTTTTTTCTGGCGTTTTTGTAAAACAAAAGCTTAACAGCTTTGGGGTGTCCTGGTTTTTACTTTTTGAAATATGGCAACCCTATTGCCAGGAGTGAGGAATTCTCTCCCTCTCCCAATGGCACCAAGAAGCAGGGAGGAAACAAGAAAGTTATTTCTTAAGATTTTTTTTGAGTCATCACAGTGAAAGACGAAGAATCCAGTCATTCCTCAATGATAGCATTGCTCGCACCGAGCTCCTCCCTCCTTCCCTTCTAGCAACAACACCTGACTCTATGGTGTCCATCCATGGTCAACTGTCTCTGTGCCCTTTGTGCTGCACCCTTAACGAATGTCGCGTTTTGGGAGAAGGGTTGGTTATGCGGTCCAGTGACGTGTCAGCTAACTGTTTTGCCTCCCCTCCTCCATCTCCTAACACCTTATAACTCTTCTGTTTTCCTCTCTCTAAGTTGTTGTTTTCCTCACAGCCCTGCTGTAATTCGAGACTGCCATCCTCTTCTCTGGGAGCTACAGGAGAAGGGGGGGTGACCTTCACCATTCCTCCTCCTCTTCAGCCTTGTCCCTGAAACCTGTACAGTGAGCACAGGTCTTTGCTTGCACAGTGTAAGCTTAGTATGAATAAACATCCTGGTGGGGAGCTCCTTTGCATGGTGGTATAATCCTCTCACAAAAGCTAGAGAAAAACTGCAAACCTTTACAGGATCCACACTGGAATAGTAGATCCAAGAGACACAGGCAGAATCATTAGGTCCTGGGCCAGATCTTTCAGGAACATCCCACCGATAGGTGACAATTTCACCTGAGACAGAGACAGAGACAGACACAGACACAGACACAAATTTTTATTATTATTATTATTATTATTATTATTATTATTATTATTATTATTGAGAGAGAAATTGACATCTTTCTACTTCTGTTGGAATCTCAGAGACTTATTTATTTCATAATATTCATACTGTAAAGGTAAAGGTAAAGGGACCCCTGACCATTAGGTCCAGTTGTGAACGACTCTGGGGTTGTGGTGCTCATCTCGCTTTACTGGCCGAGGGAGACGGTGTTTGTCCACAGACAGTTTTTCCAGGTCATGTGACCAGCATGACTAAGCCGCTTCTGGCGAAACCAGAGCAGTGCATGGAAACGCCGTTTACCTTCCCGCCAGAGTTGCACGTTGACGTGCTTTCAAACTGCTAGGTTGGCAGGAGCTGGGACCGAACAACAGGAACTCACCCTGTCACGGGGATTCGAACCGCCGACCTTCTGATCAGCAAGCCCTAGTGGTTTAGACCACAGCAAGCCCTAGTGATTTAGACCACAGCACCACCCATGTCCCTTATACTGTACAGTACTTAATTATATATTTTTAAAAAACCTCTAAAGGGTTTGCAAAAAAAAAAGTTAATACAATTACCAATGTGGAAAATTAACAATAATTTAAATTTTTTGAAAAGTTAAAATAACAATAGACTAGAAGAAGGTTAAAACTTGTATCAGGTTTCTAAACATATCTTACAATTAAGTCATTTAGATATCCAATTATGAAATGTTTCTTATTGAAAATCAGGGGCTTACCCACAATTACCTTTTGCCCTGCTCTTCCCAGGCACAGGCCTACACTTTAAAGCTCTGTATCTGAGCACACCCCCTTCCTTTCCCTCTGGAGCTTTCTCCATGATATGCCGCTGTCTAAAGGAGCGAACTGGCTCCTTTAATGGGAGGAAATGGCTATTTGGGTTTTCTTTGGGTTGCCGTTTGCTTCCATTGGGCTTTAAAGAGCAGGTTTTTACGGGGAAAGCTCAGGAGCAAAAAAACAAAACAAAACAAAAAACCAAAAACTTCCAAGGAAGGAGAGTCTACCACCTTCCAATGGAGTCCATTCCACAGTCGAACAGCTCTTGCTGTCAGAAAGTTCTTCCTGATGTTTCATCGGAATCTCCTTTCTTGTCACTCGAGTCTATTGGTATGGGTCCCAGAGTGTGCAAAATAATAGGGAGCCCACCCAGCCTCTAACCATACGGTGCCTGAGGATGGACTCCAGGTGGTCTCTGTGAGCACTGCAGGGGATAGTTAATAAGAAGCTTGGCCGCTATACATGACACAGGGGTCTAGACAAGGCAACTCACAGCAGAGGGCTAAGACTCACCAGGCATTGCTGCTTCCGAGCCTTTGTTGCTGTTCTTCTCCAGGACTCCATGGGCATGAAGGGAGTAAGGCCGTGTGGCGTTGTTCTTGAACACAATATTGAGGACGTCTCCCACTTCTGCCCAGATGAACGGACCTAGAGGCAAGGAGATGCTGTTGGGACAGTGACTAGGAATGGATGAGAACAACATAAAAAGATGTACACTTGAAAGCAGTGCATTGAAAGCAATACGTGGGTGGCAGAACAGTGCTGATACAGTGATGTGCATGTGCTCATGCAATAGCTGTGGCTATTGCTGGGTCAGTACAAAGAATTATCTCAATGTCTCCACAGTCCAAGCTATTGGAAGAAGTGGATCTACTCAAGCCTGCCAAGACGTGCAGGGGGCACTGCTATACTAGGTTCAGAGTGAATTTGGGACCCAGACCCCCCCCCACTTGCTTGCTTCCCAAAGTAAGTCCCCACTCACTAAGTAATGAGAGTTCTGAAGTGAAATATGCAAGCACTATTTTAACCTGCTGCTTTGGGAGAAAGCAACTCTCCAGGCCTCAATGCAGGCCACGCCTCTCAGTTCTGCACAACCCTCCCTGCTTTTACCTGAGTGTGTTTGATTTAGCCTACTATACATGCCAACCTAGCAGTTCGAAAGCATGTCAAAGCGCAAGTAGATAAATAGGTACCACCCCAGCGGGAAGGTAAACAGCGTTTCCGTGCGCTGCTCTGGTTCACTAGAAGTGGCTTAGTCATGCTGGCCACATGACCCGGAAGCTGTACGCCGGCTCCCTTGGCCAGTAAAGCCAGATGAGTGCCGCAACCCCAGAGTCATCTGCGACTGAACGGTCAGGGGCCCCTTTACATGGGCATAGCCGGGGGGGGCAGCGAGGGATAGTTGCCCCCCAATCAATAAAAATGCATAGCTAACTGAGGTTCTGTCACCCCAAAAAAAGGCCTGCCCCCCAAAAAACCTTGCTACACACCCATGCATCATCTTTGCAATCAATTTTAATTAGCTAAAACACTGAAAGGCAGGAGGAGGCTCACTTAGAGGTTAGAGTGGTGCCTTGCTTCAGAATTCTCATTCTTCAAGGGGAAGAGGCTTTTACAAAAGGAAAGGAAAGCTACAGAAATGGGGAAACAAAGATCCCCCTGCTACAACTAATTAGCCAAGGAAAACCTGGCAAAATATCGTAATGATAAAACTTATGTATAAGAAACATGCAGCACTTATTTTACTCCTCAGATTAAGAACACAACCAATAAGAACCTCATCCTCCATTTATTATTGGCAGTTAGATTAGTGATCATAAAGATCTGGAAAACTTTAAATGCAAATCTTTTTGAAGGCTGAAGTTTGCAAGTATGGGACTTCATGCTTATGGACAAACATTTCACAAAAGGAATATTGATCCAGTGCGATGAGAGGACTAACGCTTTCTATATACCCTTTTATTGGCTTTGTTAATGCAATCAAACATGGTTTTTACTCTCGACAGACTCAAGGAAACTTATTGAGAGATACTTTCATTTGATTGTCTTTCTTGGAATGTTTAAAAATACAACCATCACCTGCTATTTAGCTTTCTTTTCTGTACATCTACTAAGCCTCCTTTTCCTAGTATGGCTATATTTTGTTAATTGAAATTGAAAAACCAATTACCAAAAAAACCGAAGAAAGAAAAGAAAAATGCAATCTGAAATAATTAAGAAAACAAAATGTATTGTGAAGTTCTTACATTTCTGGATGACAATGTAAATGATGACATTTTTCCTTTTATTAATTGCCCCATAGAATTTTTTGTTATATTATCCCTTCCGCCTTCCACATCTCATGTTCTCTCTGCCCCCCCGCCTTTTCTAGTTAATTTGTTTTCTTTTTTCTTCTTAGAAAACAAGAATGCTTCATATATAATAGCTATGGCAATGAATTGCAATAATAACGTTAATAAAACCGTTTTTAAAAAGAAGAAGGAAATAGAAAAGCTGAGAGTCTGGGCCCCAGATTTGTTTTGTGCCTAGTACAGCTGTGCTCCCCTGCAATTATTGTCAGACCCATCTCTTCTGATGGCTTGCACTGTGACTAAGCTGCGGTAGTTATTTATACTGACCCAGCTATTTTCCCATGAGAGCGGGAAAGGCATGGGCAGAAAAGAGTGGGCATGGACAGAACAGCCCATAATAAGCAGCACATAATAAATTTCCATCGCTACCCACAGTATACTGAAGAGCCATGGAGAGGGAAAAACAGAAAAACTTATCAAAATAACACAGCACTCCAGAGATACAGTCCACATTGACATCATGCCATTAAAGTTCTATTATACCATTTTAAATAGTCAGTAGCTTCCCCAAAAGAATGATGGGAGCTGCATTATCAAACCACACTGGGAATTGTACCTCTGGGAGGGAAACAGGGGCTTCCTACCAACGTTAAGCACCCTTAACAAACTACAGCTCCCAGAATATATATTTTTTTTGGGGGGGCTGTCGTGACTGTTTAAAGTGGCATGGTGCTCAGATACTGCTTTAAATGTGCGTTGTGAATGTTGCCACAGAGAGACTCCCATCTACATCTGGAGAGGCATTACAATGGGGGAGAAGACCCTCAAGTGCCTAGACATCCTCAGTTCTTACATTTATAATGGGAGTCTATTATGATGATAATTTGAAGTCCAAGGTACATCAGGCCCAGTGCTATTTTTCTTTTTCTTTTTATGTAATAATTTTTATTAGTTTTCAGTTACAATAACCCAATAAAAGCCTCGCTGTCAATACCAATTTATAATACCAAATCATAATACAATTAATAATGCCAATTGTTCAAATAATAATAATAAACAAACAAACAAACAAACAAACAAACAAACAAACAAACAAATAAATAAATTATACCTTGCCCTCCCCGGCCAGAGCCGGGCTCAGGGCGGCTAACACCAGTAAAATTACAATAAAAACATAATGGGGGGACCAATTTAAAATACAGGCTAAGGTACAATTTAAAAAGCAGCCTCATTTTAATGATAGCCCATAGACCAAAACCATAAGGGGAGGGAAACATAAGGGTCAGACTGAGTCCAAACCAAAGGCCAGGTGGAACAGCTCTGTCTTGCAGGCCCTGTGGAAAGATGGCAAGGTCCCGCACGGCCCTAGTCTCTTGTGACAGAGTGTTCCACCAAGTCGGGGCCAGTACTGAAAAGGCCCTGGCCCTAGTTGAGACCAATCTAACCACCTTGCGACTTGGGACCTCCAAAATGTTGTAATTTGTGGACCTTAAGATCCTCCGCGGGGCATACCAGGAGAGGCGGTCCCCTGCATGCTAGAATTGATGATTTGATAATTTACTTTAACTCCGCATTCCAATTACACACCAGTCAGACTAACAAATCCTTATGCCTCCAGTGCTGTTTTTCTAGAAAAAGAGGTGCCAGAACTCACCACGAACACCCTCCTTGTTCTCTTAGAATGGCAATGGCGCCCACCTAAGAGGTGCCAGAACTGGGTTTCGGTGAGCTCCAACTGGAAAAAGAGCAGTGACCGGGCTTGGTTTACACATGCAGACATATGATGTGTTAACAGAATGGCAGGGTTCTGAGGTCGGGGAATGCAATGTACCACCTCAGACCACAAGGCATCCTATTTTTTGAACACTCTCCCTAGAGTATCAAACTAAACCAAACCATAAAAAACCCACCACTTGTTAATTAGAAAACTGGTAAATTTAGAAACAATTTCCAGCGGTATAGCTGAGTTAGCCTATTGCTGTGAAAAACAAGAGTCCTTTAACACCCTACTGCATTAAAATTCATTTGCAGAGAATGTTTTTACAAAGGGGCTGATTCATAAGTTATACCCCCACCTGCTGTCTGAAACAGTGCAGTGCACTCTACTGTCTCTAGCTTTCAAACATCTAACTCTGCGGCACGTGTAGACCAGGTCATCTGGACAGGTGTTCATTGTGGGATTTTTGTGCACATTTTTTTTTTCAGTGTCCATGCAATGCTGTTTTCATCAAAGTGACAATTGGCGCACCCCCCCCGAATGCATTTAATTTATATTCACCCTTTTCTATGGAAGTAAAAAAAAGTAAAAGCAAAAATAAGTAAAAAAGACCCCTGTAGCCAAAGGCCTGTTTCTGATTGTGCTATCTAACAAACTTGCTTGCAGGTTAAGCCCCTGACTTGCTCGAATGGAACACAGAAACAAAAGAAGATCCTGCTGGATCAGGTCAGTGGGCCATCTTTTAAACCCATCTAATTTGGTGGCCATCACTAACTCCTGGAGAAGTGAGAGGAGCCGCTCCTACTTTGTGTACAATCCTTCTCCTTACCCAGGATCCCTAGGTGTTCCTCGCCATCCGTCCTGCTCTTTGGGGTCTTGAACGTCCCATTCGTGTATTCCCTGTACACTGCTTTTTTGTACCGGGAGCCAAGGAGTCCGTTCTTGCCACTCAGAAACACGTCGCTATACCTGTGAATGCTGAAGTTACTTTGTGCGTTAATGATGCTCTGTTGGCATTAATAAAACAATAACACACATCTTGTCTGTGCCGGGCAGGTCATGGCTCTAGGGAATCTGGTTTCTGGAGATGTGAAACCCGCTGAGATGAAAGGCTTTGGGAGATGCCAGGAAAAGTCTTAGCATAGGGGGACCTGGGTACAGGTCAGCTATGAACTAGCAGGGGAACTAAAAGTGATAATATCCTGGTGCATAACCCTTGGAGTTGGTGGTGGAATGGTTTCATGAGATCCCTCCAGCCAGGGATTTCAGGGCTGCATTCCCACATGAGCAGCTTTCAAGGGGCCACATCTCAGGGATCAGCAGGGCCAGAGAGGCAAAAGTGGATGTGGCTAGAGCTAAAATGGCCAGAGCCATCTTTTCCATTGGGATTACTGGCGCGTTGCGCCAGGGCGCTGCCTTCTCAGGGGTGCCCCAGCGAGTGGGGAAGCTGCGCGGCTTTGCCGGCGGCCTCCCCTTTCCTTCCTGCACACCCGCCAGCTGCGCCCTGTCAACCACATGGCTGGCAGGTGTGCAGCTTTCTTCCCAAGCCCCTGCAGGAGGAGAGCGACCCCCGCAGAGGCTTAGGATGGAAGCTGCACCCTGCCAACTACAGTGGTGCCTCGCAAGACGAAATTAATTCGTTCCGCGAGTTTTGTCATCTTGCGATTTTTTTCGTCTTGCGAAGCACGGTGTCGGAAAAGTTTTGGAAAAGCTTCAAAAATCACCATAGTCTTTAAAAAACCTCAAAAAAGGCTACCACACCATGTGCTATGAGTTGCTCCTCGAAGTCAAGTTGCAACTGTATTAATGGTGTTAAGAAAAAGGAAACAAACTTGCAAGATGTTTCCATCTTGTGAAGCAAGCCCATAGGGATATTCGTCCTGCGAAGCAGCTCAAAAAACAAAAAACCCTTTCGTCTTGCGAGTTTTCCGTCTTGCGAGGCATTCATCTTGCGAGGTACCACTGTATATGGCTGGCGGACATGCAGCTTCCTTCCCAAGCCCCTGCGGAGGAGAGAGATCCCTGCAGAGGCTTGGGGAAAGGTCGACAACTCTGGAAAACACGGGGTGGGGCGCCGGAGGGATCTTTGCACCACGGCCGGATATGCTTAAGACAGCCCTGAAAATGGATGTTGCTGTTATCTTTCTGAAATCAGCTGCGTTCTAGCTGTGCAAAAGTCGGAAGCTTTTACCCACCCACATGTCTTCCCAGCCTCTTTTCTGGCAAGTGGGAGGCATTCTGTTGAAGGACACTCAGGCAAAAGCACTCAGGTGTGTGCGCCACTGAGGGGGTGGTTGGAGCCCTGGCTGCTGAGGTCCAGAGAGGGCCTCCTTTTCCCTCCAGCCTTAGGTTCCCCACCTCTTTCCTTAGGCATATTGCTGCAATCCGCACATTTAAAGCCTTAAAAACCTTCTGCCTTCCATATGGTGCTGCTGGGGAGCAATAGCAGGGCAAGAGCTAGGAAGCATGTTAAAAGGCCAGAGGGCATGCCATCCCTTTTGTGTGCAGCAATAACTATAATATTTATAAGATAGGCAGCAATACTTCTGAAGCCCCTGGAGGGTAGGGGAGAGATGCTCTTGTAGGACCAGGCATTGGGCTCCCCTACCCCAACCCATGCAAATAAGGGACGCGGGTGGCTCTGTGGGTTAAACCACAGAGCCTAGGGCTTGCCGATCAGAAGGTCGGCGGTTCAAATCCCTGCGATGGGGTGAGCTCCCGTTGCTCGGTCCCTGCTCCTGCCAACCTAGCAGTTCGAAAGCAGTGTTTCCGTGTGCTGCTCTGGTTCGCCAGAAGCGGCTTAGTCATGCTGGCCACATGACCCGGAAGCTGTACGCCGGCTCCCTCGGCCAGTAAAGCGAGATGAGTGCCGCAACCCCAGTCGTCCGCAACTGGACCTAATGGTCAGGGGTCCCTTTACCTTTACTAGGCTGAAGCTTGCAAGCTGCACTCACAGCCATAATAATAATAATAATAATAATAATAATGATAATAATAATAATATTTTCAGGTGGACTTGTCCACCTGGAGATTCAAGCCGTCGCCCGCCCCCCACCTGGTAATGGCCAAGCAAACCTGGGAACTTCAGGAAAGTTCTGGGGGTCTGGCAACCTCATTGCCCCTTTGGGTTAAAAGGACAAGCTGGGTTTTTAAGCTCTCTGTTTTTAAACTGTAACATTATTTTGTGGGTGTGGACTAGTAATTGTCTTACTTTATAAGTATTGCAGGGTTTTTTTTAAAAAAAAATTTATGACACTGACTATAAGCCCTCTTATGGAAACTTTTGTTTTGAAAGGTGGCATACAAATCCATAATGTAAAGCAAGCAAATAAAAGTTAACTCAGCCAACTTGGCGTGGAGAGGAGCCAGAAGAACAGAAGAAGAGCCTGCTGGGTCAGGCCAATGGACTATCTAGTCCTCCTGCTCCTTTCTGAAGCAGACCAGTTACCTCTCCTCCGCAGAGCTGTTATATCTTTCCAGTGCCCAATGGCGATCCAGAGCATAGTCCCACTCCACTTCTTGTGCCATGATGTAGAGGGTCCTCACTTGCTCATATTGCTGGTCTGGAAACAGTGTGTTCTTCCCACACTGCTGAACTGAGTAACGTCCTCTCATCCCAGACTGGTAGTGGTTGCTAGTCTGACAGTATACTTCAAAAGTCCCTAGTGGGCAGCATAAACAGAGATGTGCAAGATGGTTGCAGACAGGTCCCTCCAGATGTTTTCAATCAAAACTCCCACCAGCCTCAGCCAACACAGGAATGTCCCCGCCCCCCAGTGCCATATGGCTGTGTTGGCTGTGGCTGGTGGGCTTTGTAGTCCACCACAGGGAGTTCCACAGTTCAACCCAGTCAGATGGGTGGGGTATAAATAATAAATTATTATAATATTATTATTAACTGTCTGCTTTGCGAAGGACTTCCTTTCATCTTTCTTAATCTTCCAACATTTGGCTTCATTGGATGTCCACAAATTCTAGTGTCATGAGAGAGGTAGAGCAACTTTTCTCTATCCACTTTCTCTTTGCCAGGCATAATTTTTATAAACTTCATTCATGTCGCCTCCCCCCCTTGGGTTTGCATTTTCAGGACAGACTTGTGTTCTATCATATCAAGCCATGGGTCTAACTAACGAACCCTCATTTTATCCTCACAACGATTCTGTGAGGTAGGTTAGGCTGAGAAGGAGGGTGTGACTCAAGAGAGCCCACTAAGCTTCATTGCTGGGTGGAAAGTTGAACCCTGGTCTCCCAGGTTCTAACTCAATTGCACTATGCTCTACAATTCTGTGATAATACCACACTGTGCCTCAAGCTTGAAAGCAAAACAAGACCCTGAAAAATTCATCTCCAGGGATTTAGGAGATCTTGCATATCCAAGGTCAGTGTCTGTACATGGCCTTTATTGAAAGCTTGCGTAACTGTCTTTCCTTGGACAGTAAAGGTTATGATTAGACTGAAAATGTTTACTTGCTTCTAAACTGACTACACTGGTCCACACCATGCACTGGAAGCACACACTCCCCCCCCCCCACAGCATCCTGCAAAATGTAGCCCACGCCTCACAGAGCTGTAATTCCCCAAGACCCTTAACAAACTATAGTTCCCAGGTTTTTTTCCAGGGAAACCTTGTGCTTTTAAGCATGCATAAAATATATGGTTTGCACATGACCTATGTCTCCCTTGAGAGAGAAAGGTTGCAAATGGGTTGAGGCATTTACCTTCGCTATCTGGCTGCATGAGGGCTGTGGCAAATGTGTGAGGGAAGAGACTGGCTCCATCTCGCCTCATCCCATTCATCAAGACCGTATTTCCCTGGAAGGTTGCGCCATGGACATCGGCTTCACTGCCAAAGCCCAAGAGATGCCAGGAGACAGTTTCTTCCCTGCAGACATCTAGGAGAGGCATGTTGCTGAACAGGAACCCATTAATGGCTTTAAGGGAGGGGGGAACCCCAAAGGAAAATAAACAAAAAAGGAGACATTTACTTATTTGATTCATGCGTAGACCATACCTTTTCATATACTGCTTTGAATTTGGGGTTTTTTGTTTTGTTTTGTTTTGTTTTTTTGCAACCAAGCAGAGTACAAATTTTACAAAAGAAATAAATGAAACAAATGAGAACATTGTAAGAGCCTGCTGGATCAGGCCAAAGGGGCCCCATCAAATCCAGCATCCTGTTCTCATAGTGACCAACAAGATGCCCCAATGGGAAACCAGCAAGCTGCGCAAGAGCTGCACTTTCCCCTCCTGTGGTTTGCAGCAACTGGCATTGAGAAGCATTGCTGCCTCCAACTTGTTAACGCAGAGCAAGGCCATCATGGCTTGTAATGATAATATCATAATAGTTTATTATTTATAAGCTGCCCATCTAGCTGGGTTTCCCCAGTCACTCTGGGCGGCTCCCAACAGAATATTAAAAACACGATAAAACAGCAGACATTTAAAACTTCCCTAAACAGGGCTGCCTTCAGATGTCTTATAAAGGTCACATAGTTGTTTATTTCCTTGACATCTGATGGGAAGGCATTCCACAGGGTGGGTGGCACTACTGAAAAGGCCCTCTGCCTGGTTCCCTGTAACCTCACTTTTCTCAATGAGGGAACTGCCAGAAGGCCCTCGGAGCTGGACCTCAGTGTCCGGGCTGAACAATGGGGGTGGAGATGCTCCTTCAGGTATACTGGGCCAAGGCCATTTAGGGCTTTAAAGGTCAGCAGCAACACTTTGAATTTTGCTCAGAAACGCACTGGGAGCCAATGTAGGTCTCTCAGGACCACTGTTATATAGTCTCAGTGGCTACTGCCTGCCGCATTCTGGATTAGTTGTAGTTTCTGGGTCACCTTCAAAGGTAACCCCATATAAAGCGCATTGCAGTAGTCCAAGAGGGAGATAACCAAAGCACGCACCTCTCTGGTGAGACAGTCTGTGGGCAGGTAGGGTCTCATCCTGCAAACAAGATGGAGCTGGTAGACAGCTGCCCTGGACACAGAGTTGACCTGTGCCTCCATGGATAGCTGTGAGTCCAAAATGACTCCCAGGCTGCACACCTGGTCCTTCAGGGGCACAGTTACCCCATTCAGGACCCAGGAGTCCTCCACACCTGCCCGCCCCCTGTCCCCCAAAAACAGTACTATAGGTTTGTAGCCATCAGTAGTCCTCTGCTCTATGAATTTGTCTAACCCTATAGGTTAGTGACCCATCCTTGGCTCTTCTGGAAGCAAGTTCTGCAGTTCAGCTATGCGCTGAGAGAAGAAGTCCTCTCTTTAATCTGTCCTTAATCTTCCTACATTCAGCTTTACTGGATGCCCATGCGTTCTGGAGTTATGGGGGTGGGGACTTTCCTCTATCCACTTTCTCCATGCCATGGATTGCTTACAAACTTCTACCATGTTGTCTCTTACATGCCTTTTCTCTAAACTGAAGTCCCAAATGTTGCAACCTCTGATTACAGAGGGGTTGCTCCACCCCCTTAATCATTTTGGTTGCCCCTTTCTGAACCTTTCCCAACTCTATAACATCCTTTCTGAGGTGATAGCTCAGAGTAGATATTTCAGATAGGTGCTCCGATTAATTTCTAGGTAATCCAATGTTCAACTGCGTCTTCATTCCCTAAGGTTGGGCGTGATGACATACCGTGCATCCTGTTGGATTCCTTGAAGTCTTGATCTTGAAAAGGATGGTCTTGATCTTGAAAAGGATGGTCCTTTCTCAAGAAGTACTTCAGATTTGCATCCAGATACCAACTTAGATTTTCATCAAACACGCCAAACAAGATATAAAACTCCTTCTCAACACCTTTCTAGGATAGCAACAACACACAGGATGTCAGGCTTTTGAAAAATACCTATTCTCATGCACTAATCATTGTTGGTTATAGTCGCAAGAGCATTGCTGGTCATTCCCCGAGTTGGTGAGGCTCATTTGACAACAGTGAGAAACTAAGCCTTGAGTGTCATTGGAACTCCCTGCCACTGGGGATTCTTTGTCAACTTTTAAATTTCTGCTGAAATCTTTTCTATTCTGCCAGGCCTATGCTGGCAGTTAATAACACGTCCTACCACAATAGTTATTTGTTATCTGTTTTTTAACTTTTTAATGGTTTTATTGTACGGTTTTATTGCTGTAAATGGCTTAGATTTTTTAATGACAAAATGGCATACAAATATACAGTGGAACCTCAGTTTTCAAACGTAAACCATTCCAGAAGACTGTTCAACTTCCAAAATGTTCAAAAACCACTCAATACAGAAGCCTCAATACAATAGGGAAACTCAAAACGGAAGCCACGTGGCATGTTCAGCTTCCAAAAATCGTGCAAAAGCCGAAGCAGTTACTTCCAGGTTTTCGGAGTTTGAAAGTCGAAACGTTCGACTTCTGAGACACTTGAAAACCGAGGTTCCACTGTACTTATAAATAAGTAAGTAAATAAGTAAAACTTTTTGCTTTGTGTTTAATGCTGTAACTTTGCTATTAATTGCCCTGGACTCAGGAGAGGATAGGCGAGATATAAGCAATAAAATAATCGCCATCATGTTCCAAGTCTACCCACCTAACCACAAGCCACTGCCAATCAAGTAGGGAACCAGGGAATTCAGACCCTGTAGGGCTGGCAGTTTTGATGGTGGTCTCATGGGAGTACTAATGTAGGTTGAGTCTCAAAAAATTACCCATCTCCAGTCCCTTCTGCTGATACTGGTCAATGGCACAATGGCAAAGCAACAAAGCATACCTGCTTATTATGTTCATCAAGAGTCCCAGGCCGACATATAAGCAAGGGCCCCACTAAGCCAGAATTGGTGTCTCTGACTGGATCTGCTGCAGAAGAATACATCCAGGTCAGACAAGGAGGGTCGTTGGCTGTAGGCCCAACATGTTGAGGGACCATCCAGCGGTACACAAAGCTCCCCAGAGGCTTCACAGCAGCTCCGTTCCTAGATAAGCCTTTGAAAAGCAAGAAGGGTTATGCAACTCCTTGTATCATTAGAGCTAGTCATGGTGTAGTGGTTAGAGTGTTGGAGAGACCAGGGTTCAAATCCCCACTTGGGCATGAAGCTCGCTGGGTGACCTTGGGTCAGTCACTGCCTCTTGGTCAAACCTACCTCACAGTTGTGGGGATTTGATGATGATGGGGAGACCATGCACACCATACCTCAGGCTCTTTGAAGGAAAAGGTGGGATATAAAAGGAAAAAATAAATAAATGAAATTTTAAAGCCGTTCATAGCAGCTGGGGAGAGATAGCATTAACCGGGGAAAACCTGCTTAGTGTTCTGCAAATACTGTGGGACTCCAGTTCCCATGAGTCCCCACAAAGATGACCAAGGCTGATGGGAACTATCTGGAGGGTGCCAAGCTGGTGAGAGACAGTGCTGTGAGGGGGTTAATTTCATGTTTGGGTAGAAATGTTTTCTCTTGTCATTCTGGATCTTACTGACCAGTGCTGTTCAGCAATCTCCTGAGTCTAAGAATTATGTTAGGCAGACACTCATTTCTCAAGCTACATTTTCCATACCATCCATCATTCTATATACAGTCATACCTCAGGATAAATGTGCTTCAAGTTAAGTATTTTCGGGTTGCGCTCCGTGGCGACCCGGAAGTAACGGAGTGCATTACTTCCGGGTTTCGCCGCATGTGCATGTGCAGATGGTCAAAATGACGTAACGCCCATGCGCGGAAGTGGCAAAACGTGACCCGCGCACATGCAGATGCGCGGGCGCGGGTTCCGTTTGCTTCAGGATGCAAACGGGGATTCAGAACGGATCCCGTTCGCATCCTGAGGTACCACTGTACCTCCACTATCTCCCCACCTGCCTTACCCTCAGAGGCCTCAGAAACTTTAACACCTACGCTTAAGAAGAGTTCTCCAATCCCTTGACAATTTGAGTTGTTCTTTTGTCTACCTTTTCGTGGCATTGTGTCTTCTTAATTTTTGTGGTTTGGCTCGTTTCCCCCACTTCATAACCAAGCTGTCAGCATGGCTTGCAACAAGAACACAGTACAATTGCATCTTATTCGGGGTTCAGTTTGTGTCTATCCAAAGCCTCGGAGCCGCCCTACAACTGGAAGGGTGGGGTGGAGAAAGAGAAACCCCCGTGCTCCCAGACCCCATGCTCTGAGTGGGCCTTGCTCTCTCCCCCAGCAAGTGGGGAATCTTTTTCAGCTTGAGGACTGCATTTTCTTCCAGGCAGGTTTCCAGGGGCCACATATCAGTGGTGGGTGGGGCTGGAGGCAAAAATGGGCAGGGGAGCAATTGATGGCTACTAGGCTGGATAGCCATGCCCTGGCTCCAATGCTTCTGAATGCCAGCTGCTGGAAACCGCAGGAGGGGAGAGGACTGCCCTTGAGCTTAGATTCTGCTCCTGGGCTTCTTCCCATTTTGAGCCAGGTCCCTTGGAAACTTGTCCATATGAGAAATCATCCCTCTAGCTGAAAAAGGATTCCTCACCTGATTCCCAGCAACTGTTATTCAGAATCATAATTCCTCTGGCAGTGACACATTGCAGGTCGCTCGGCCCCATGCCTAGAAAGCACAGGACAAGAGGAAAACCACTCGGGCTCATACTTACTGCACATGGGACAAGTGGGAGCATGGATAAGCCCTATGTGTCAACTTTTCTCCATCCACTTTCTCTGAAATGCCATGCACAATTATGCAGATTTCTATTATGCCATCTCTTAAGGCTCATCCACACTTATCAAGCCTCACGCTTTCCAGACAGATGTCCAACTTTAAAAATCAGTGTCTAAGCACTTTCAAAAAATTTTGCTCTGCAGCTTTCCACAGAAAGACCTGCTCTTTGATGCTGAATCGGAGCAAACAGAATCCCGTGAAAATCCAAATGGCTGTTTGTCCCGATTCAGCAGTAAAGAGTGGGTTTTTGTGGGGAAAGCACCAGGGGGGGAAAGTGTCGGACATGGAGCTTTAAAGCAGAGACCTGATCCTAAAATATGTGGCACAAAAGGAGATCTGAATGAGACCTCACTCCAAACTGGAAAGTTCCAACACTGCAACCCTTTCTCATAGGGAGCTCTTGCATTAAAAGCATTGTGAAACCTCCCCTTTCTGAAATAACTGAAAACAACCTCTACTTTTTCACCCCAAGCAATTCATCCTGGTCTTGCTAAGCAAGTGAAGAGCACAGTTTTTATACAGCTGTTGCTAAAATGAAAACGTGCATGTACAAACTAACCATCCTGGTAAGCAGTTCCTTCCCATTCCTTTTCATAAAACGCACCATGGGGCTGAATGCTAAAAGGCCAAGAGGCTTTGTTTGCAAACGTAACCTGGATAGTATCTCCGACTTCAGCTTTGATCACTGGTCCTGCAGGGAGAAAGACAGGAATCATAGGTCATAGAACTGTAGAGCTGGAAGGGACCTAGTCCAACCCCCTGCAATGCAAGAATCACAACTAAAGCTGGTCTGTAAGTTTGCCCCCTCAGCGAGCCATTTTGTTTTCAAACAGCATGAGCATGCCTTATGTCCACTGAACACTGCATGCAGAAAGCACCTATTTACAAGAATTCTGGCATAGCTAAATATCAGTATTGTGCAAGAGCTCTATATCAGGGGTCAGCAACCGAAGGCCCATGGGCCGGAAGCAGCCCGCGGAGGTCGTTTGACCGGCCCACGAGCCGCCCCTAAACTGAGCTGCCCGCTTGCGCGCTGTGCTAAACCGGTGCAGCGTGGGGCGGGGACTTGCTTCTGCGGCACCGGAAATCGCGTCTACGCAGACCCCAAAAACCGCGGGCGCATGTGCAATCCGACCCACAGAGGGATCTCCCTGGGACCGATCCAGCCCAGGCAAGATAAACCTTGCTGATCCCTGCTCTATATTTAAAAGCAAAAAAGGAAACGTGTGTCCCAAAATAGCACAGGCCTCCATAAGAACATAAGCAGAGCCTACTGGATCAGGCCAATGGCCCACCTAGTCCAGCATCCTGTTCTCACAGTGATCAACCAGAAGTCTGTTTTGGGAAAACCGCAAGCAGAACCTGGGGCAAGAGTACTCTTCCCTCCTGCGGCTTCCAGCAATGGACGCAGAAGCATTCACTGTATCTGGCCATGGAGGCAGAGCATAGCTATCATGGCTAGTAGACATTGATAGCTGTCTTCTTCTCCGTGAGTTTGTCTAATCTTCTTTTAAAACCATCTTTCCGCTAGGGCCCTGCGGGACTTGACATCTTTCCGCAGGGCCTGTAAGACAGAGTTGTTCCACCAGGCCTTTGGTCAGGGCGCAGCCTGACTCCCTCCTCTGGCAACCTGCACAGAATTTTGCCTAATCGGTTGCCATCAATTTGATTTTAATTAATTTTTATAATGAAATATTTTTAGAATGTGTGATTATTTGACTGTTTGATTATTTGATTGTTGTTAGCCGCCTTGAGCCCGGCTTCGGCTGGGGAGGGCGGGATATAAATAAATTTTATTATTATTATTATTATTATTATTATTATTATTATTATTATTATTATTATTATCTTAGTTAGTAGCCATTACCACCTACATTTTGCCCATAGTGAAGCATGGTAACTAGGAGCTGGTAATATTTGCTGTTTTGCACTTGCACATTTCTGGTTAAAAAAGAAAAACTTTTAAAAATGTGTTTGTGGACAGGTACAGAAATACCTCCATGCGTGCCCAGAACAGGCAAAGGTAGTAGAAGACAGGAGAATAGTGACTGGGGGTAGGGGCCAGAAAACATTGTATCAGAAACTATCTATTGCTGTGTGGACAGGAACCAGCAGAATGCATTTGAAAAATCTAAGATTAAAAAAAACAGTGTGTATTGATAGTCAATCATGTACACAGAAAAATTAGATTTTGTTTGCAACAAAATATGGGAGCCCCTCATTGATTGTACCCAGATTGTGGGACTCTGCCTGCCTAGGGAGGGTGGACTGATTCCTCCTTGGTGGTTTTCCACTGCCTTGTGAATACCATTTTTTTCCTAGTAGGCATTTCATCTTTGGGAATGCTCTTGTTTTTTAGGTTTTTGTAACACTGCACTGGCTTTTGAATAACTATCCCTGTTTCCCACCCAGATCATAAAATATTTATAGTTGATGTGAGCAGCATTGAGTGTCTCTGTTAAGACAGAAAGAGTGAATTACAAATCTTCCAGATAAATAGATAAAACTTCCCACCGTGCCTCTCAAAATGTAACAAGTCATAGCCCATATATCTGGCTGGGCAGGAAAGTTAATTTTGTACCAAGTATTCCGAGATGCTTTTCTTCTTTTGTCCGCCCCTTCTCCACCTGAAAAGTTCCATCCATGTATTCAGTGTATTGGACCTTCCAGTATGTTCCCCCAATCCTAGTGGAATTCTGCTTGAAAAACTGCTCTGAAAAACTAAGCACAAAGAAGCAAACATGTGATTCTAGGATGCAATAACAACCTAATCTTTAGATTTTGCAGCTTTTGTTGTTGCTTCTGCAAATCCAGCTGCATCAGCCAAGATCCATAGTAGCTTTGATGCTGAACTATGCAAGAGACTTGGCAAAAGAAGACTGTTTTCATCGTTAACGCTATCTTTTTAGGGAGGTGGAAAGGATGTTTATGTGTCACATATAAAGGCTGATAGTGCAGGCGGGTGAGAAAAAGTCCAGTTAATTGCCTTTGTGGAGAAGGGCCAGAGAGGCTCAGTAGCAGAGCATCTCCTTAGCAAACAGAAAGTCCCAGGTTCAATTGGCATCTCCAGGTGGGCCAGGAGAAAACTCATGTCTGAGATGATAGAAAGCCTCTCCTGCCAATCAGTGTAGACCACACTGAGGTCTCATCTACACTTCTGCTTGTTCCTTGCCTAGAAAGCATGAGTCTCAGCGGCCTTTGACACCATCAACCATAACATCCTTCTGGACCGTCTTGAGGGGCTGGGAGCTGGGGGCACTGTTATACAGTGGTTCCACTCCTTCCTCCTGGGCCGTGTTCAGAAAGTGGTGGTGGGGGGTGAGTGTTCAGACCCCTGGGCCCTCACTTGTGGGGTGCCTCAGGGTTCTGTCCTCTCCCCCATGCTTTTCAACATCTATATGCAGCCGCTGGGAGAGATAATCAGGGGGTTTGGGCTGGGTGTTCATCAGTATGTGGATGACACCCAGCTCTACCTCTCTTTCAAATCAGAACCAGTGAAGGTGGTGAAGGTCCTGTGTGAGTGCCTAGAGGTGGTTGGAGGTTGGATGGCGGCTAACAGATTGAGGTTGAATCCTGACAAGACAGAAGTACTGTTTTTGGGGGACAGGATGTAGGCAGGTGTGGAGGACTCCCTGGTCCTGAATGGGGTAACTGTGCCCCTGAAGGGTGCACAGCCTGGGAGTCATTCTGGACTCACAGCTGTCCATGGAGGCACAGGTCAAATCTGTGTCCAGGGCAGCTGTTTGCCAGCTCCATCTGGTACGCAGGCTGAGACCCTATCTGCCTGCAGACTGCCTCGCCAGAGTGGTGCATGCTCTGGTTATCTCCCGCTTTGGACTACTGCAATGCGCTCTATGTGGGGCTACCTTTGAAGGTGACCCGGAAACTACAACTAATCCAGAATGCGGCAGCTAGACTGGTGACTGGGAGCGGCCACCGAGACCACATAACACCGGTCTTAAAAGACCTACATTGGCTCCCAGTAGGTTTCCGAGCACAATTCAAAGTGTTGCTGCTGACATTTAAAGCCCTAAACGGCCTTGGTCCTGTATACCTGAATGAGCGTCTCCACCCCCATCGTTCTACCCGGACACTGAGGTCCAGCTCCGAGGGCCTTCTGGCGGTTCCCTCACTGCGAGAAACCAAGTTACAGGGAACCAGGCAGAGGGCCTTCTCGGTAGTGGCGCCCTCCCTGTCGAACGCCCTCCCACCACATGTCAAAGAGATAAACAACTACCAGACTTTTAGAAGACATCTGAAGGCAGCCCTGTTCAGGGAAGCTTTTAATGTTTGATGTATTAGAGTATTTTAATATGTTTTTTTGGGAAGCCGCCCAGAGTGGCTGGGGAAGCCCAGCCAGATGGGTGGGGTACAAATAATAAATTATTATTATTATTATTATTATTATTATTAGTAGTAGTAGTAGTAGTAGTAGTAGTATTTTCTGCTTGTCCTGCACTTTCTAGCCACAGGTCCAAGAGGTTTTGCCTTTGCTCTGCTGCTTTGCCCTTGAAAATCTGTTCTTCAGCACTCAATTGGAACAAAAGGCAAACCACAGAAAACCCGAGTACTGTTTGTTCTGATTTAGTGCTAAAGACTGGGTTTCTCCAGGGGAAAGCAGCTGGGTGAACAGAGGTGTGGCTAAGCCCTAAATTAGATGGACCAATAGTTTGACTCCATGAAAGTCGGGTTCCTAGGAAGTAGGGAGCATTTCCCCTTTGCTAGTCAGCTCAGGCCAGAGGTGGATAATGTCATAAGAACATAAGAAAAGCCTGCTGAATCAGGCCCTGTGAGATCTTGCAAGAACCAGTGGGGGCTGCCTAAGCAAGGCAGATTGCTGAAAACACTCTTCGTGAAGGGAAAACCTGGTGCTAAAAGAGCTTTAAAGCTCTCTGCCGTGCTTGCATTTAAATTGTGGACTTTTAGCCAGTGGTCCTTCAGCTGTGTGTGGTTGAAATGGTGCGAGTTAAATGCACGTTAGATGTGATCGTGCTGTTTATAACTAGCTGACCTTGTTTATAACTAGCTGACCTAATCAAGGTGACCTTGGGTGGTGTTGACAGAACACTGTGTGTACCAAGTGATCCAAAAGTAAGACAATTAAGAGAAGTAGCTCTCACCCAAATCAAGATTGGAGTAGAGAGGCTCATCCAGAACCCCCAGCTTTAAATGAAGAAACCGAGACACATAGCTGTCAATGTTTTCCTTTTTTTTAAAGGGAAATTCCCTTATTCTGAATAGGATTCCTCGTAAGAAAAGGGAAAAGTTGACAGCCATGCCCAGATAAAGGGCAGCTGGCAGATGGGATGAGAAAGTGCAACTGTTCAGTAATCTTAAAACACCATCAAAAAAGCAACTGCAGAGCAGCCCCACTATCCCCAAGGACACAGAGCTGTTGTTTTGTAAACATGTACCCAATGTTCTGTTTCCCAAGGAAGCATAATCCATCCCGTTATTTCATTAAAAAAACACTATACCCAGGTCTATAATGCACAAAGGTTGCAGCACCTGGGCCAAGTAAGAGGTGACATGATAGAAGATTATAAAATTATGCATGGTCTGTGGAAAGTGAAGAGAGAGAAGTTTTTATCCCCTTCTCACAATTTAACATTAGAACTGGCTGACAATGAAGGAGAATGTTGGGAGACTCAGGACAGATAAGGACTTCTTCACACAGGGCAACTGATAACTACCAGCCAGGATAACTATGCTGCGTTTTCAGCTGGAGGCTGCTATGCTCTTGATTCCCAGTTGCTGGAAACCACAGGAAAGTGATCTTGTGCTCAGGTCCTGCCTGCAGGCTTCCCTTTGGGGCATCTGGTCAGAATAGTATGCTGGACTAGAAGGGCCGCTGGCCTGATCCAAAAGGCTCTTCTAATGTTTTGATGATCTACCTCCCAACCTTGGGACACAGGGAATTAAAAGGGATAGGGAGCTCTCGGGATCTGCAGAAGACTACAATTCCCATGATTAGGGGTCTGGGGTATTATCACCATTATTTTTATTTAGTTATTATTAGACTTTTATCCTGCCCTTCCTCCCAAAGGAGCCCAGGTGTCTATCCACTTGCTGCTATTTCTAATTGCAGGAGGGAGGTGGAGTAGCTGACAAAATTCTGCCTTGTTATCAAACGGACCACAGGTGGACCAACTGCTACGGTTAACCATTTTTAAGCTGCTTTATATTTGCTGTAAAGGTAAAGGGGACCCCTGACCATTAGGTCCAGTTGTGGACAACTCTGGGGCTGCAGTGCTCATCTCGCTCTATAGACCGAGGGAGCCGGCGTACAGCTTCCGGGTCATGTGGCCAGCATGGCTAAGCCACTTCTGGCGAACCAGAGCAGCGCACAGAAATGCTGTTTACCTTCCCATCAGAGCAGTACCTATTTATCTACCTGCACTTGACATGCTTTCAAACTGCTAGGTTGGCAGGAGCAGGGATCGAGCAACGGGAGCTCACCCTGTCGTGGGGATTCGAACTATCGGCAAGCCCTAGGCTCTGTGGTTTAGACCACAGCGCCACTCGCGTCCCATATATTTGCTGTATGAGTACCCAAATTCAAAACCTGACCTACCACATTACAAAGAAGCTTGGTTCAAAAAATATTTTGGTTTCTTGGGGCAAAGTGCCACACTGTAGCGCCTTGAAAAGTGCAGGTTTAGCTACTCTGTTGAAAAGTTAAAGTCTCCTGTGCGATGGGGACCCCCTTTCAGCACTGTGTAAATGCATTCTCAAGCAGAGCAGGAAATCCACAAATAAAATCCCCCTTACCTGTTTGGCTGCAGCAGGCTTTCCCCAGTGCCCAGGTCTAACCCTGAGGGTCCGTAATTCCACTGAACTTCCTTTGCCGCTATGTAGTATTTGCGAAGTTTCCCTTTCAGGGCAGGCTCTGGATTCTGATAGGAGCAGTTCCTGACTTCATAGAGAGCCTCCATCCCAGCTGTAGGAAGCACAACAGAGCACAACACATTCAGACTGGCCTGCTTGTCAAAACAGCCTGCAGGTTGAGAGTGATGGAGGCAGGGGAGGTCAGGAGCAGCGCAACAGTCAGATCCTGTTCCCCACCACTTCCAAACTCTATTTCACTTTTAAAAAAAACATTTTTTTATAGTCTATATACACAAGGGAAGAAGCATAAAGAAATACAGTATGATCACATCTTGAGAGTGATCAACATGCACAATTTCACCGTTAAAAGGTTAAACCCAGGCTGGCTGAAACTGTGCAAATTAAATGCATGCAAGGCAGAGAGCTTAAAAGCACCTTTTGACCTTCTGCACCTTTCCTAGTGCAGAAAGAGTGTCTAACCTCTCAGACTTGCCTGCTGGGCTCAGTTGGGAGACCTTGTGGGAACTCAGATGGACCCACAAGACCTCAGAAGAGCCTCCTAGAACACAGTTAGCAAAGCAGAAAGCTTAAATGCTCCCTGCCTTGCTTGTGGGGCAATGTCCATGTGGTGCACCAGCTCCAGAAGGTAAGAGTGTTCATGAGGGGCCGTTCCAAGGGCGTGGTTCGAGCATACATATTTTTGCATATACACGCCACCCCTGGAACATAACCCCTGTGCAAGATGCAAACATGCTGTACTCATAATGTTACAGCAAGTCAAAAGAAGCATTAGGTGGAACACTACCATTAAACTTACTGTTCCAAAACATTACTAATTTTTCCCACCATAGGCTGGTTTACATATATTCTTTTGTAGTAGATTAAGTTAATCATAGTTATTAGAGACCAATTTTTCTCAATTCGTTCATATGTAGTAAGAGATATGCAGCTTTCATGCTTTGTCCTGTATGGAAAATCCATCCTTGTACCCTTAGTGATTGCTGGCATCACACATATATTCCTATCTTGGCTCCCACACCCACACAGCACTTAAAACTTACCTTATCTAAATAAAGGTCCATGTTTTAAAGTGCTGCGTTTGAGCTCCCCCCCCCATCCTTTTTTTGTCCTGTGTTTTCCTCAGGAAAACCCACTCTTTACAGAAGAATCAGAACAAACAGCAAATCTGCAGAAAACCCGATCGCTCTGATAAAGAGTGGGTTTTACTGGGAAATATGCCAGGGCAAAAGAAGTAAAAAAGTAAAAAAAAGTGCCTGGACGTGGCGCTTTAAAGAGTGGACCTTTGCCCAGAAAACACAGAACGAAAGGTAAGTGTGGATGAGCCCTCTCCACTCAATTATCCCTGGAGGTATGATTCCCAAAAACTACTGCATGGCATATGCCTAGATCAGGAGCCACCCAATCCAGCTCCAGGTGGAAGTGAATCAGTGACCTGATTGGCCTGCAGGAGCAGCCAATCAGGCTTCTAGATGAAGTGAATCCGCAACCTGATTGGCCTACAGGAGCAGCCCAGAATTAGCCAATCACGCGGGGTCCATTGTGTAAATAATGTATATATAGCTAGAAGTTTTGGGGGAAAGTTTCATTCAATGCTACTATGAGCTGAATAAAGAGCATGAAATTCACACTCGACTCTGAGTATATTTCACCCACTCTCTGTTGTCATGGGCAAGGAATTCAGCAAAGAACTAGTGATCACAGTTGCAAGGGGAACTCGGTCTGGGAGACTTCCTTACCTTGCAGGTGATCATGGACCGCGCAGTTCAACAGCCATTTCCCAATGTGTCGTGGGATCATTTCTGCTGCCACAAAAGTGGCTGGGAAGAGGCTGGCCACGTCAGTCCTGTGGCCCCGGACAATCAGGGTCTGTCCATGGAAGAAGACGGTGTGGATATCAATCTCATTGCCCATCCCAAAAAGATGCCATGACACGTGATCCCCAGCACACATGGTCATCTCAGGGAGGTTCCCAAACACGTAACCATTAATTGCTGCAGAAATAGAGATCAAGATGTTAACATGAAAATGGGGTTTCGTATCAGTGTGTGGGTGTACATATATGTAGCATCCTATATTCATAAAAATGTAACTGTTACTGTGCAACTGGAGAATTTACAGTGCCTCATCACAATCCTGGATTTGCATAAAGTCAGGGTGAGAGAAGGGCAGTTTAAAATGGTGGTTTCAAAGAACAGCAGAGGTTTGAATAAAGCAAAGACAGAGGTCCACAGGTTCAATGTATCCTGTTAATGTGCACAGAATTTAAATACCTTCCGCCTACTTTTTTTTTTTTTTGGTAATGCTCCAATATTAATAGATTTGCTTCATTTTCCTTCTGTTTTGCAGTTTGGAGGAACATTGTGACTCGCCAATGGTTGTGTAACTCCTGTGAAGTTGTATAACTGAGTGGCTTGGGTTGTGTTGTTTCCCAGTACAGCGTTCCCAGACTCACATTTGCTTTCATAAAGTATTAGGCATGAGTTTCCCTATGGCAGTACCCATATGAGGGAGCAAGTTGTACATGTGAAAGAACAAAAGCTGTGGCTGAGGAGGCTAGGTTGGAAGGTTATCAGAATGGCCTGTCCACATGATGTTCATTCACTGGTGCTCCAGTGGCAAACCTGTGGACGAGATACAGTTGCTAAGGATGATGAGAGATCCCACTTTCCACCCTTGTATTGTGTTCCCTACTGTCAAGTCACGAGAAGTGACTAACACATTCCTCCACTCTCAGGGGCTTGGGGAGGGGTATCCCAGGGGGAGGGGGCCTTGTAAGCTGCAGGACTCCCTCCTCACAGAGGCTCCCCTGGCACTTTACTATACAACTTCCAGAGGATGCCCAAGACACACCTCTTTATTTGACACCTGAGGCGTATATTTTTTAGGAGTCACTTTATTTTTATGATTGTAAGTTGTTTCAAACTGTTTTGAGTGTTGTTTCAATGTTGTAACATGCATTGGGAACTTAGGGTGAAGGGAAGACAATCCATCAGTCAGTCAGTCATTTTAATCAGTTATAATTCTTTCAGTGTTTGGCAGCCCTGAAGTTAATACATCTCTGTTCTGTATGATCTCTGAGTTTATTTGATCCAGAGAGGGTTTGCTACAGCTGTCCCTACCTGGATATAAACAGAGGTCAAGAAAAGGTCCTGCCCAACTGCACCCACCATGCATCTTGTTGCTCTCCCTGAACCCCTCGTCTTCCTCATCAACAGTGCTTGGATCTCCGCAGAAGGAGGCAATGTTTTGATCCAGGTGCCAGCTCTCATTCTCGTCAACCACGCTGAACATCAGAAAGAAATCGAGGTCCGCGTCATGCCGCCTTTGAGAAACGCTCTTCAGAGTCCCTGGGCCAGGAGAAGATAGGAGTGAATGGAAGGAGCCAGGAGGCCTGATGCTGTAGGGGGAGCATGCTGGATTTCTTCCTACTTTCAAGAAAACCCACCTCTCTTAGCCCTGAGGGAACACACTTCTGCTCTCAAAGCAAGTCTGGTGAAGGACTGTGGGGCTGGCTTCACACAGTGGTGAGCAGCGTCCCTCCTCCAGGCAGCAAGTGCCACCATTTAGTGCAAATCCACTTCATACATTTAAATCACATTCAGTTGAGAGCCAGTGTGATGGCTACTCTAACTGGAGGAAAGTGGCAGGACAAATGGAACTGTGGCCGAGCCCTGATATCTTGCCACCTCTGTATGAGTTCAAAAACCAATAGCACCCAAACAAGAAAATAAAACAACATATTATATATATTTATCCTAAAACAAGGCCTTTGGGCCTTGCTTCTTTCATTTCCAGTTCTGCAAATGGCATGTTACAACCCCTGACCTCTTTCTTTCATTTAAACTGCCAGGCTGAATATGGTCTAGAAGCTTGTTTCAGTCAATTTAAACCTGAACTGAAGAACAATTCAGGAAAGGTACTTGTGGCCTATTGCACTGTTTGTGATATACCGTAATTACAAAAATAAGCTATGAAACTAAGCAATCTTTTCCCAAGGGCAGCCTTACCTTCTCTGCATATCAGCAGCGGCCCAATTAAGCCAGTGGCAATGTCTTTTGCTGCATCAACATGAGAATGATAGATCCATGTTAAACAGGCTGGGTCATCATCTGTTGGACCATGATCCTCAGGAACAGTCCAAGTATATGTGTGGTTCCTGCCCGGGGGGATGGCATCATCCTTCTTAAGGTCTTGGGAAGAGGACTCATCAGGGTACAGGGATCCTGGAAAAATTGAGAAATTGCAGTATACATTTAGTACAATTTCCATTTAATACAGTTGCATTAGCCTTGAGAAGAGCCAGCTGGATCTGGCCCGTGGCCCATTTAGTCCAGCATCCTGTTCTCACAGTGGCTAATCAGACACCTCTTCTGGGAAACTCACAAGTAGGATTCGAGTGCAAGAGCACCCTCCGCTTTGGCGATTTCCAGCAATTGGCATTCAGAGCACAGCCATCATGGCTAGAAGCTACTGGCAGCCTAATCTTCCATGGATTGTACTGTTGCACACAACCCCAACTTCTGAGTTTCAGGAGACTGCAGGGGTGCCAGTACTTAGCCAGGGTTCAGTTCCATTGGAATGAAGATAAACAGACTGTGTTGATAGGATATTTGTTTTTACACATATATACAATCTGGGGACGCGGGTGGCAGTGTGGGTTAAACCACAGAGCCTAGGGCTTGCCGATCAGAAGGTTGGCGGTTCGAATCCCCGCGACGGAGTGAGCTCCCGTTGCTCAGTCCCTGCTCCTGCCAACCTAGCAGTTCGAAAGCACGTCAAAGTGCAAGTAGATAAATAGGTACCACTCTGGCGGAAAGGTAAACAGCGTTTCCGTGCGCTGCTCTGGTTCGCCAGAAGCGGCTTAGTCATGCTGGCCACATGACCCGGAAGCTGTACGCCGGCTCCCTTGGCCAATAAAGCAAGATGAGCGCCGCAACCCCAGAGTCGGTCACGACTGGACCTAATGGTCAGGGGTCCACTTTACCTTTTTATATACAATCTGAGCATGGGATGGAGGGGCTCACAGCATTAACACTCCAACCTATAACAGTAAACTTTGAGAGCTTCCATTTTGACAGCAGCCTCTCAAACTTAACACCCCACTATGAATTGCTTTTAAATCATCCAGTGATTAGAGAGCCAGTGGTTAGAGTGTCTGACTAGGACGTCGGAGACCACGGCTCGAATCCCACTCAGCCCAAAAGCTCACTGGATCACCTTGGGCCAGTCATTGCATCCCATGTACGCCTTGAGCTCCCTGGAAAAAAGGTGGAGTAAAAAATGCAATATATAAATATATAGATAAATAAAAGCATCATATGCAACATGCCAACTCATGTAGAAACATCCACGAAAGCAGAGGTGAGAGGAAACTTGTTTATTATTATTTATTCAATTTATATATTGCCCTTTATCAAAATACTTACCTTCTGAGTCCTTCTTGTAGAAGACACCATGAGGATGAATGGTGAATGGTCGCCTGCCAAAATTCTTCAGGTGTACAATGATGGTGTCACCCACTTCAGCTCGTATGATGGGCCCAAGGAATCCCAGCCAGGAGGGTTTGGGTATTTCTGATGTGTACGTTTCATCTAAGTATTGCTTATACACAGATTTCCTGTAGATGCTGCCAATTCTGTTCTCGGCAGGCTGGAGAAAGCTAGAGGCTATCCTGAAAAGGAAGGGGGAACAACAATGACAATATTGGTAGCAATTTTCATATGTGCTGATACATCTCTCCTGCTATCTGTATGCACAGCTGGTTGTTTTTAAGGCAAGGCAGAGAGAAGAAAATGTGTGTTTTATTTGTTTATTATTAGTCACTTTATCTTGCCCTGGGACGCGGGTGGCGCTGTGGGTTAAACCACTGAGCCTAGGGCTTGCCGATCAGAAGGTTGGTGGTTCGAATCCCCGCAACGGGGTGAGCTCCCATTGCTCAGTCCCTGCTCCTGCCAACCTAGCAATTAAGAAGCACGTCAAAGTGCAAGTAGATAACTAGGGACCGCTCCAGCGAGAAGGTAAACGGTGTTTCTGTGCGTTGCTCTGGTTCGCCAGAAGCGGCTTAGTCATGCTGGCCACATGACCCAGAAGCTGTACGCCGGCTCCCTCAGCCAGTAAAGCGAGATGAGCACCGCAACCCCAGAGTCGGCCATGAACGAACCTAATGGTCAGGGGTCCCTTTACCTTTTATCTTGCCCAGAGCAACCCAGAGTGGCTTACAACCACCCAACCAAAAAAACCAACATAGATACATTAAAACCAAGAGGGGAAAGAAATACAGTGGTACCTCAGGTTAAGTACTTAATTCGTTCCGGTGGTCCGTACTTAACCTGAAACTGTTCTTAACCTGAAGCACCACTTTAGCTAATGGGGCCTCCTGTTGCTGCTGCGCCGCCAGAGCACAATTTCTGTTCTCATCCTGAAGCAAAGCTCTTAACCTGAGGTACTATTTCTGGGTTAGTGGAGTCTGTAACCTGAAGCGTATGTAACCTGAAGTGTATGTAACCTGAGGTACCACTGTATATTAAAAACATCCCACCCACTTTTAAAAACGGGTTTAGTACAGCAGTTCCCAGACTGGATGGTACCTTCCCCAGGGGCGGGGGGGGGGGATTCCTAGTTGACGCTAAGAGACAAGGAGCTGGCAGGGAGGCAATGGAGGTAGAAATGGCTATCAAACTTTGAAAAGTTGGCATCACTGGATCAAGTTTATCAGTTTTGTTGAATCACTCAAACTAAAAAGTTTTAATTGGGTTTTAAATAAATGTGCAATTAATGAAACTAAACCATTGGTTTAGTAAATCCTGAGTATGTACTTGTTCTGCTTAAGAAACTCAGCTGTGCTTTACTACATCAGATTAGCAGTCACATACCCCTTGGCAAGAATTCTGCTCTGGCAGGTTACTAGGTAAAGGTAAAGGGACTGCTGACCGTTAAGTCCAGTCGTGGCTGACTCTGGAGTTGCGGCGCTCATCTCGCTTTGCTGGCTGAGGGAGCCGGCGTTTGTCCACAGACAGCTTCCGGGTCATGTGGCTGGCATGACTAAGCCACTTCTGGCAAACCAGAGCAGCGCATGGAAACGCTGTTTACCTTCCCGCCGGAGTGGTACCTATTTATCTGCTTGCACTTTCACATGCTTTTGAACTGCTAGGTTGGCAGGAGCAGGGACCGAGCAATGGGAGCTCACCCCGTCGCGGGGATTCGAACCGCCAACCTTCTGACTGGCAAGCCCTAGGCTCAGTGGTTTAGACCACAGCGCCACCCACGTCCCTTTTATCAAAGTTAAAGCAACCAGTGGGAAGTCCTAAGTCCAGCCAAGCAGTGACGTGCTTTTTATCTCTATTTGAAGGTGAGAGGTGCACAGCCATTAATGTGCACAGCGACATCTTGGGAGGGGTGTTTCCAGCTACCCCACCCTTTGCCCTTGGAAACTGCTGCAGGAGATGGGCTGTGAGCAACATCATGGGAGGGGTGTTTATTAGGACTAAGGTGAAAGTGTGAAGCTACCTTGTTATGCTTCGGGTGATGCATGCTGTTTAAGGAATCTTGTTATATGTATAGTATTAGAATTTGGTTTTTTTGATATGTTATTATATTTGCTGTTGTTTTACTATATTATTGGTTTTTGCAGTGCTTGTTCGAAATGCATCTGTTTCTTTGTTGCAAGCCACTTTTAGCATGGTGTGTGTGTGTGTGTGTGTGCGTGCGTGCAAAAGCAGGATACAAATAAAATGAATGAATGAATGTCAGACTATGGAGATTTTGAGTATTGGATGCAGAGGGTAGGGTGGGGGGTAGTTTATGATGATTCCAGACAAGTGGGAAGAGGACAGAGGTGAAACCATCTCCCTCCCCCGTGGGAAAGGCAATCTCTTGTATCTTTTACTGATACAAAAAAATTGAATTCTAGTAGATACAATTTCTCTCTGTCCCTTGCATAACAACCTACACCAGCCAAAAGTCCTGTATACCAATGTTCAGAAGTGCAGCCATTCTCTAAGTTGTCTAAAACATACATGTACCTGAAGAGTGGTTGGACATGTACAACTCGTTCACACTTCCAGATGTTGGACTCCCAACTTCTATCAACCCCAGCGAGCAGGGTGCCCCTTGAACCAGCTGTGCAAATGCTTGAATTGATTTTTATATACACCGTATTTTTCGCCCTATAGGACGCACCTTTTCCCCTCCAAAAAAGAAGGGGAAATGTGTGTGCGTCCTATGGGGCGAATGCAGGCTTTCGCTGAAGCCTGGAGAGCGAGAGGCGTCGGTGCGCACCGACCCCTCTCACTCTCCAGGCTTCAGGAAGCTATCCGCAAGCCTGGGGAGCCCGGAGGGAGTTCCCGCGGGCTCACAAGGCTTGCGGGCAGCAGCCTGCAGCCCGAAGCACGGGGTGCCCTCCGGAGGGCGTCCCGTGCTTCGTGCAGGTGTCCGCAAGCCTTGCAAGCCAGGCAGGAGTTGCTGCCGGGCTCGCAAGGCTTGTGGATAGCAGCCTGTTCTGGGGGCTGGGGTCGGGGGAAGCTTGGGCTTCCCCCACCCCAGCCCCGCGGCTGGGGGAAAAATATTTTTTTAAAAAAATCATCCCCCCCCCCAAAAATGAGGTGCGCCCTATGGGCCAGTGTACCCTATAGGGCAAAAAATACGGTATGAAAAAGGGAACTGAAAAAAATCCAGAATTACATTGCTTTTGGGGGGGTGTTAATCTCCTTTAATATTTTCACAGATGGCTTCAGGAAGGTTATTTTTGGGCTAGACCTGTGGCTCCCAAAGTGAGCAATACCAGGATGGGGGTTCCCTGAGGATCATGGGGATGGCAAGGGGGTGTTGCAGCTATAAATGTCTATCAGACTTTGAAAAGCTGGTATCACTGGATCAAGTTAGTCAATTTTGTTGAAATAATTAAATTGAATAGTTTTAATCAGATTTTGAATAAATGCAATTATTTATTACTGTTTTGAATTTGGAGTTTCAGCACCCACTTTTCAAGCAGGGAAACTCAATCTGCTGGCAAACATTGGACAGAAGATATTGTCCCCCTCAGCTCTTAAATGTCATGGCACTGGCGTCAGTGCTACACACAGAAATTTCTGCTTGTGCATGTGTGTGTGTGAGGGGCAGCATTGCCAATAAACCACCATAGCAGAACTTACAGATGCCTCATTATTGCTGCAATACATGACTGATTCTCCATCACCTTCAGGTTATTTGGGTAGATAGGTTTGACCAGCCTTTCTCAACCTGGTACCGTCCAGACATCTTGGACTCCAGCTCCCATCAGCCCCAGCCAGCATGACCAACGGTCAGAGATGATGGAAACTGTATCCAGCATCTGAAGAGTCATGGGTTAAATCACATCCTGGTATTTTGTATGTTACACTACTGAAGCTTGGTAATTCTCCTGTTTCTTAGGTAACGTGGCATTAACCATTAAACCAACCAAGACCAGATACATATCAAGAATGTATTATCCTCCTTTTTTATATGTATATGAAACTCTGAAGTGGCTAGAGTTAACTAAGTTATTAAGCCAGGACCTAGTAAACCAAGAAATGAAGCTCACATATCATTTGCTATGCTTTGTCCTGTGATGGTGTTTTTCCCCAAGGGAGCATAGTTCCAGTCCACTTCACGGATGCCCAGGTAGTAGACTCTGGTGGCACCTTCAGCCAAGACATGAACAAGGAGGTGGAGGTGGAATGCAGTGTGCCATGTTTGTTTACAGGACAACATATCAGCTCTTGGAAGGTCAGTTCAGGTGTCGAGATCTTCAAAAAGGGAGGAAATAAAAATAAAATCTTAGCACGAGTGAAGAAGGAACAGAGAACACTGGCTTATAGTGAGTCAGGCCATAGGTTCAAGCAGTTTGGTACTGGCCTTGCTGATGGACAGCACTCTGCAGGCTTTCTGACATGGCCTGTTTCTCAGCCCACCTGGAAACATTGGGGCATTGAACCAAGAACCTTGCACATTCAACTCCTGTTTTCTGCTGCTAAGCGACAGTCTTTCCGTAAGAAAGAAAGGCAGGAGACGCTACAAGGCCATATAAATCTGCAGATTTTATTTTCCAACAGATGGTGTTTGTGGGTGAATGAAGAGAAGGTGATGTTCTTGGCATGTAATCCACCCCACTACTGTCCATTTAATTAAGTGCCAGATAATGTCAAGATGACATACAGCTTCAAGGACTCTTTCTCTTTGATGGTGGAGCAGGGGTTGATTTAATTGTATCAGCTAGGATGCAGATTTCAGTCTCCTAGTCTACCCACCACCAGCACCCTTCATGGGGGACCTGGGAAAAAAGTCTGTATTGTCTTCCCAGGTTCCATTACCTACGTGTCCCACAGCCCTTTGGTTCCTTTGATCCCAGATAGGCTCTAAATGCTTCATACTCTGGCCCTGCCTGCCTTTGGATGGACTTATCAGCCTGCCAAAACGTCTGAAGGGTACCAAGTTAGGGAAGTCTGGGATAGACTCTCAGTGCCCAATTCAAAGCAGTAGCCCATTCCAAACATGACTAAAGCCTGCTAACAATTTTTTTGTTGTTGTTGGCAAAAATAATTATATGGAATGAAACGAAAACATTTGTTTGCATGCCTATAGCATGAAGGTTAAAACCCCCCAACAATCATCAGTTGCCTGGTTTCATATTTTTAGTTACTGATACAGGCAACAAGACCAGAGGTACATTTGAAGTTAACCTGCTGTTATTTATTTTTATGTAGGAGACTACCAGCCACCTTTTTAGCAAAAGTTGTTGAGCTTTCTTCAGTTGTTGAGCCAGGTGCAGTAGCCCCTGTGCGTGAATCCTAAATGTTTGGCCATTGTGAAAATAGGATGCTGGACTCTATGGGCCAATGACTTCCACTCTGAGGAGACCTGAGTGGCCCTATGGATTTGAAAATGATTTTTAATGTGTAATCATTGTCCAGTTTCTCTCTCTCTCCCCCCCCCCCACGTCCCTTTCCCCTTGTATGTGCTGCTCTTTTAGACTGTAAGCCCTCGGGTGGGAATTGTCTTGTTTTGACTGTATGCAAACCACTTCAGGAGCCATTTTGGATGAAGAGCAGGGTGCAAATGCTCCAAATAGATAAACAAACCCACGGTGAAGGAACAAATCAGAGGCCAAACCATTCTGCTGTGATAAGAATATATTTCCTCCTCAGAAATGATCCCAAATAAGTTGGAGTCAGATAACAACTGCCAGATGTTTCCAAGGTCATTTGTCTCTCCACTTCATTGGAAGCCTTGTAAGTAAGAAACTTACTGTTTTCATTACTCACTTTGCTTAGAAGGCTTCTGATTAAACACAGAAGCACCTAAGCCCACAAGAATCTAAGAAGAGACCACCTGGATCAAGACAGTGGCCATTTAGTCCAGCATCCCCTTCCCACAGGCCAGATGCCCCAAAGGGCACTCTCCCCGCTGGTGATTTCCAGCAACTGGTATTCAGAAGCTGACGTGAGTGCTGGAAGGAAGACCTGCTCCCTGCTGCAAGGCCCGTTTCCACCTGGCCTAGGGGATGGGGACCACACTTGCCCAGAACAGCTAAAAGGCTCCTGAGAGGCCACTGGGACATTGCTACCACCAAAAATGCTTTGCAATGTTATTAAATAGTTTTAAATCTGTGGCGTTTTAAATGTTTTGGGGTTTTGTTCTGGGTTTTTTCCCCCTCTGTTGTGGGTGGGATAAATGTTTACCGTAGATTCCGGCATATTAGGCGACAGGGCGTATAAGACGACTCCCCAAATTGCCAATTTGAGGGGTCGACTTAAACGCCCAGTTGCCTAATACGCAGCATCAGTGGGCAGCGGGTGGCACGCTGCGCTGGGAGGAAGCTGCCCAGCGAAGCCGGCTTAGCATCACTGGGCGGCGTCCTCCCGGCATGGAGCCCGCTCCCGCTGCCCAGCAAACCCATACCCGGCGTATAAGACAACCCCCGACTTTTTAGAGGATTTTCCGGGGTTAAAAAGTCATCTTATACTCCGGAATCTACGGTAGTTGGGGCTGGGGACTAGTTTAGTTGTAGCATATATGCTTTAAAAAAAATAGTTTCTACTGTTTTATTGTATAGTTTGTATTTTGTTTTGAAGGAGAGGGGGTCAGGGCTGCCTGGGTGTGGGCCCCAGCCAACAGAATGGCTGGGGCAGGTTCCATCGTGGCGGGGGGATGCACTGGGACATCTGATTTCAGAGATCATGGGCAGGAGAAGGAGTCACGCTAAGACCAGACCATGTCATTACTGAGGAGGCAGGTTTAGTCGTCGTTTGAAGACTACCCCTGCCTCCAGGTCTGGTCTTAACCGGAAGGATACTGGAATCAGTAAGGGAGACCCACATGATCTTAAGGTGCTGCTGTGCAATGCCAGGTCAATGATTCACAAGACAGCTATCATCCACAACTTGATTGTGGATGGAGGACTTGACCCGGCATGTGTAACAGAGACTTGATTGGATGAAGCAGATGGGCCTGTCTTAGCTGCTGCTTGTCCACCAGATTTCTCTTATGCACAGCAACCCAGGTCATATGGGCAGGGATGTTGGAATATTCTAGAAAGAACTTGAGAATTGGTCTTGAACAGGTTGCTAGGCAACAGAAAAATCTACCCAGCAACAGGAGCCTTTATAAAGGGCATGTGATCAACAAGGGTCAGTGTATAAATGAGCATGAGTCAGCATTAGGTCTCTGGCCAGGTGGCTGAAAGAGGAAAAGATTGTGTTATTTTATTTGTATTTGACCAGTGTAATTTTTTGTACATAATAAAGATATTAAATTAAAAGGAAACTGCTGCAAGTCTATTAAAAGAAGAAAACCCAAGAGTAGATGCTGCACACACATCAACAGGGATGGGGAGGGTTGTAGTGATTTTTAGGAAGCTTACACCAGGCATCCTATTGGGAAGACCCAGTTTTCTGAGTGCATGTTCTGGATACAGTGGTTCTGCTCCTTCCTCCAGGGCTGTGTCCAGAAAGTGGTGTTGGGGGATGAGTGTTCAGATCCCTGGGCTCTCACTTGTGGGTGCCTCAGGGTTCTGTCCTCTCCCCCATGCTTTTCAACATCTATAAGAAGCCACTGGGAGAGATCATCAGGGGGTTTGGGCTGGGTTGTTCATTAGTATGTGGATGACACCCAACTCTACCTCCCTTTCAAATCGGAACCAGTGAAGGCGGTGAAGATCCTGTGTGAGTGTCTGGAGGCGGCTGGAGGATGGATGGTGGCTAACGGATTGAGGTTGAATCCTGACAAGACAGAAGTTGAATTATCCTGGCCTGCTACCTCTATAATAGGACAACATATCCGTCTTTCAGCATGGGTTACTAAGCATCCAGTAACAAGATGCTCCTAGGACATCGGCATACAAGAACACTATTGTATGCATGTGTGTTTTAAGACCCAACTTGTTTTTATGACTTTAAGTTGTTTTAAGTTGTTTTTAATATTGTGTTTTAATGCAGCAACACTAGGGTTGCCATACAGTCATACCTCGGGTTTTAGACACTTCAGGTCGTGTTTTTTCGGGTTACAGACCGCCGAAACCCAAAAGTACTGGAATGGGTTACTTCCAGGTTTCAGCAGTCGCGCATGCACAGTAGCACTAAATCACGCTTTGCGCATGTGCAGAAGTACCAAATCGCAACCCGCGCTTGAGCAGATGCACTGCTGCGGGTTGCGAACGTGCATCCTGCATGGATCACATTCGCAGCCCGAGTATCCACTGTATTTCAAAAAGTGACAATTGGGACTCGAAAGTCATTGAGCTGTTTTCTGGCAGTTCTTTCAAAATGTCAGGACATATGGCAGCACTAAGCAACATATCCTAGGAGCTTAAGGTGAAGGACATGCCATTATTAATAATAGCTCTGTTGTTTGTCTCTTTTCAGTGGCAGAGACTGCAAAACACTTTTGACGTCCGGAAACTATGAAGAAGATGCTCCCAGTCTTTAAATACTGCTTGATAAACAAAATCCCTAAGTGGTCTACTTAAAACACAGAAAGCCCATAAAAGAAAATTATAGGCAAACATATACACATACACAAAGTTATAATAAAAAATACAAAGAAATACATCAGCAAAAACAGAGAATCCATCACTAAAACATTAAATTAAATTTCAAGAAATAATAAAACAGAGCAGTGTTATTAATCTTATGAGCAAGGGAAATCTTGTTTAAATAAGTGAATATTCAGGAAGTATTGAAACCTTGCCACAATTTCTGCCTAATCTAGAGCATTCCAGGTGTCCTGAACTATTGCTCCCACCCTAAGTAGCCCAAAAAACCTGGAGGTGGACCAGGATGGCGAAGAAGACTGTCTTAGAAGTCACCAGCTTCAGAAACAATTCCCTTCCTTACCCTCCCCACATCATACCTCAGGTCCCATTGAGAGATGTGACCCACTTGTACATGTGCAATTTGCATGCTTCCTGAGAAGTAAGCCCAACCAGAATTTACACTCAAGTAAGTGTGCCTAGGATTGCGGCCCAAGCAACCTCCCCCTTGCTAACTAAGTATTCAATTAAATAAGTTCACAGATCCCTTACTTTGATACAGGAGGAAGAGCTGGTTAGAAGCTGAGACCATGGGAAGGGTTTCAGAACTGTTCCCCGAACATTTTCTTCCTGAAGCTCCAAAGAAGCCATATGATAGCTACAGACGCCAAGAGGGGGCAAAGTCTAGGCCATAAAACCAGCTGATCCCTGGACCCAAGCCATTGGCCTATCTGGAACATGTAATGCTTTCGGAATGCACTAAATAGAATAAATGTTTTGCAAGCTGATTGGCTGCTGAGCAAAGAACAGCCTTATGTTGATCAATTCAATGTCATTACCATATCCGTATGCCGCCTACATTTGTTTCGTTTTCAGGCTTTAGATGGCAAGGGCAAGCTGCTTGTGCAGCTTGTTACTCCCAGGTCAATTATGACTGGATATTGCTTTATGGCATTGAAGTGTGAATGTGCATGCCACCTTTTGGTTCTTGGAGGAAAGCTGGTATATATAAATGCAATAAATAAATGAATTAATCTGGTTTGACAGCAGGCAGTGGCTGGCAGAGCCCTTTGCCCAACTATGGCAGAAAATGGGCAGGGATGGTCTGAGCAAAACAGCAGCTTTAAAAAAGCAACCCCCCACACACAAACAACAACAAAAAAACACCCACAACTAAACTGAAACAAAACTCCCAGCCTTCCAAGCAAAGAGCAAAAGGAAAGAAAGTGGTTTCATCGTGCATACAGTGAAGAACCTACAATAAAGGGTTTCATATAAACATTTTGGTTGGTTTCAGTATTTTTTATGTTACCCTTTATGGATCTCTGGAGCCAGGATATATGAAGTGGACTTGAACTGGATTTGGAAGCGGACCACTATCTTTCCTGGAGAGTGGGTGGGGGAAAACATTTTTCATCTCCACACAAATGTTCAGCATGGTCATATTAATTAAATAATATATAAAATTGCCGTACCGCACGCGTGTCCACTTGACTGCTTCGATCCGCAGAACTAGCGCTATTACAGGCGCCACACAAAATCCCTTCTGCGTTTACGAGAAATTGATCTTTCTGTGCGGTGTCGCCTGCACTCTGGAACTCCCTGCCTGCTGATATCCTTCGGCATACTCTTTTCGGCACCTGCTAAAAGTATTTATGGTTTAGCATGGGTGCTGTCAGGATTTATGTTGGGGGGCAGGCTTCATGTTGTGGGGAGCAGAACCTCAGTCAAAGAAGTATGTAGTTTTACTTGCGGAGGGCAGCTCCTCCTCTTGGCTACGTCCAGGTTGTTCAGATATGCTATTTTAACGTTTGAAAGTTTTAATTTTTTGTTGTTAATCCAATTGCTTTGTTATTATTTTGTAAAATGCACTGAGGTCGGGGTTTTTTTTTGCGTATAAATTGTTCGAAATAAATTAATACGTGAAATGGAAAGAGAAAGTGAAAGGACTGCATACACGTATACGTCACGAAAGCTAAGTGATTCGCTTAGAGCGCATTCGCGTTCCCAGCGTCGGCAAGCGGCACACCGCTGACGCACCGCCCCTTCTTCCGAAACCTGCCTTTTTCTGAATAGCCGGACCGCTCTTCCTGCACGTGCGTGCGAGTTGGTGCCGCCTCCGCTCCAGGGGCAGCCAATGGGCGGCCGAGCGCGAGGCCCCGCCCCCTTCATGCAAAGTTGAACTCCTTTCTCTTGCCGGCAAAGGTATTCCCTCTGCTTGCACGCCGCTCGGGGAAGAGCAGCCTCTCTCTCGGTACCATGCAGAAGGCGCCAGCTGCTCCTGCCGCGGCTGCCGCGGGGGTCACTGCACGTCCCGTAGCCCCCGCAATTCTGCAGCTGTCCCCCTTCCTGATGAAGCTGTGGGCTATCATGGAGGATTCGCGGAACGGCAGCATGATAACTTGGAGCCCGGTGAGGAGCGGCGGGATGGATTGGGGATGGAGGGTTCCGCGGGAGCGCGCCGTAATAGACTTGTAGCGCTTCTTCCGAACTCGGACTTTAATGTCCAGAAGCAACAGGCGGCCAATACTGTATTCTGGCGCTTCTGCGTCAGACGAGTTCGTTGAATTTTTAATTTAAAAAATTAAAAATTTATCCCACCTTCAAAGAGAGTAAGATGCGACCTGATAGAAATGTATTATTATTATTATTATTATTATTATTATTATTATTATTATTATTATTATTATTATTATTATTATACTTATAACCCGAAGTCCCGGAGTATGTTACAGTGTTAAAAACAACTAAAAGCAGCTTATAAAATGATGCACGGCATGGGTAGAGCCGCGGTTCCCAACTTACGGCACACGCCGCACGGAGGGGGCAATTTGATTTTTAAAGGGGGAGGCAATTTGGAAGCTTGTTTAGACCAAGTTAATGGCATTTTAGGCTTCGTCTACGTGAATAGGATTTCACTTTTTGTACGATAAGAATTAAATGTCGTGGGATTTTAGAGATGCCTAGGTGGGGCTTGGCCAAAATTGTTTGGGAACCGCTTCGATAGAGGAAGGTTTTTTGCCTCTTCGCGTAGCGCTAGAATGGTTCCCAACTTACGGCACACGCCGCACAGGGCGGCAATTTGATTTTTAAAGGAGGGCGGGCAATTTGGAAGCTTGTTAAAAAGGGTTTGGGTACCACTGCGAAAGAGGAAGGTTTTTTGCCTTCTCCCGTAACACTAGAACTCTAGCGAAGCTGACTTTTGGGAGAAGGCAGAGAAAAGAAAGTCTTAACTTCACACAGCGCAGAGTTAAACTGTGGAACAGCTTCCCGCGGGAGGCGGCAATCATGGTTCCTAACCCTAAACTGCTTTTTTAAAGAGGATTAGGCAAAACTCACGAAGGAGAAGAGGGCTATCTGCTGCAAGGGAACTGGTAGGAGGCAGCTATGCTTCTGAATACCAGTTGCCAAAAGCCGCAGGAGGGGAGAGTTGATCTTGTTCTCAAAATCCCGCTTGCGGGTTCCGTAGATAGGAATCTGGCCACTTTGCGAACAGGATACTGAACTAGATGGACCATTGGCTTGATCCATCAAGCTCTTCCTATGTTTTTACATTTTTCCAGGAGGCATTTTATTGGCCACTTGCAACCAAGTGAAGTTGCCGAGGTGCCAGGATGGAGCCTGACATCTCCACCATCTGGATGTGCGAGCCTGGGGATCCTTGGGCCATGAATGCACACTAGCAACACATCCTGTAGAATTCTATTCCTTATATTTTATCTGCACAATCGGAATGAATTTCAGGAACCAAAAAGCTGCATTGAAAAATATGATTTTCAAGCTGCATGACCTAGAAATGGCAACTTTTTGGTGACTTTCCTTTTTGGTGACTGTAACATTGGTTTAAGGAGCCATTTGGTGTCTAGCTTATTATATATCTGAGTTTCTCTGTTTCCAGGGATCCTCCTGTGATGAGGCTGCATTTTAATTGTTTTAATGTTTTAATGTTGTGTTTTAATCTTGTTTTTAAGTTGTATTCATTCTAATCATTTTTATTATTGGTTGTTAGCCGCCCTGCAAATCAGTTGCTGACCAATATAAAACAGGTGACAAGGCACACATGCACAGAATTAAACCACAGTCAAAATGTTAATGTAAAGCTAAAGAGAAATGTAACAATTCCAAAAACAACTACGAAATAAGCACAGAGTTCGGCAAAGAAATTTAATTTGTTATCCAAGTGCTTTTTCAAGATGCCATCCCTTCACCAAGTGTCTAAAGTTCTAGAATGGTGGGGTTACTTCTGCCCCTTGCAGACCCAGGGCAGAGCTGCCTGCTTCCTTCCCCAACGCACCAGAAGGCTTCATGTAGGGAAGTCAGGAACTCATGCAGAGATGTAATAGGCAGCCTCCTCTGTGTTCTGATAACCTTGGCTCGTCTAAGCTTTGTGTTGTTTACTGGTAGCAGCTGCTGGAGGCTGAATTTGTGACCTTGTGCATGTCTAGCCAAAAGCTATTCCTTTTTTAAAAAAATAAAAAAATTATTTAACTGGTTTTTCATATTAATATTTTACAATCACATATCCAATACACAACATAAAAAGAAGATTCCAAAGAATATCCTGGACTTCCCTCCTCCACTTTCTGGGTCCTATTGTTAATCATTCCCTCCTGCTTCTTTTATGATAATCCAAATCTTTCACCTCTACATTGTGTCCAAAATTCACCATTAAACTACAAGTGTTATTCCAATCCTACCAGGGTGGATTTGATTTAAATCACTAGTCAGTAAGACTTGATTTAAATCGTTTTTATTTATTTTTTACAGAAAGATTCATTTTTGCTGGTATAATCTTAATATTTACAACCAGTTGAAGGTTTCATTTCTGGAATAATAAATTTTCAAAGTATTTTTTACAGTTATATAAAAAATACTGATGATTATACTGTTAGAAATACATAGAACAATAATTATGAAATTATTGTGAAGTTTAATAAGTTAACTTTATATTTGGACAACTATTCTGCTGTACTTTATTGGAAGGAGAAAAATAATCATTTCCTTAATAACAATTTAAACAATTTATTTAACTAAATAACATTTTAGCATGTGTATCCATGTTTGTTGATGTGGTTAAACTACTAAAAAAAACTTAGACTGAGTTTTAGCACACATGAAAAACATAAACAAATTTTTTATTTCCTGATGAATAGCCTTTGGACTATAATGTAACTTAAATAAAAGACTATATTTAGAAAGATTTTTCCTCCAAAAGTATTTTATTTTAAAAATCCAATTTAAATTAAAAAATATCTGATTTAAATAAAAAATATCTGATTTTTAAAAAAATCTGATTTAAATAAAAAATCTGATATTTTTATATATATTTTTTTAAAAAATTAATCCACTCTGAATCCTATCAACGATTTTAGCTGTTTACAATGGTTTTTAAAATAAATTATAAATTTTCCCCATTCCTTATTAAAATTTTGGTTTTCCTCTTTTCTGATTCTTCCAGTCATTTTAGCCATTTCAACATAATCTACCAACTTAATCTGCCATTCTTCTCTGGTAGGGACTTTATCTACTTTCCATTTCTGGCCAATAGCATCTGCGCAGCTGTGGTCACATACGTGTATTTATGTATCCAAAACGTACTCCCTTGCATTTAGGATTATGGTAGTGTTTTATTTCTTCTAGTTTTCTAATAGTTAATTTGTTGTCCTTGATGTAAGTGTAACCTGATGTGTGCACATGTTTCTTTTCTGGAATGCACGAATACATTCCGTACGTGTGCGTGCCCATGTATGTTCATATGAAGGCATATAATCTGAGTTGCAAAAGTTTGCATAATTCGCAATGTGGCACATCTTGCCTGGTTGTATCTGTCTGTATTGTCCTGCTCTCCTAATAGTTGCTCAAAGGAAACTAGGCATATTTGCATTGCAATTTGCAAACTGGAGAATTGTGCAGTAGTGAACAAGCCAAATCCAATTTCATTGGGTCCACTGGTCTGAAATATTATTATTGTAATATGAAAAGTGCATGTTTTCATGATGTTTCTAATGCATATTTTTAATTTAATTTTAATTAAGGGTAAACTGGTCCTAGCCTGTAAAATTCTACTTTTTGCATTGTTTAGTTTTTTAATAGGTCAAGATATGCTGTAAATTTGGTGCAGTGGGCAAGTAAATGCCAGCATTGGAAACTAGCTGACTGCACACTTATAATTTGCCCATGTAGTGAGAGAATCAGAAACAGTTGAATGGTGTGATATATACCTACACAGGGAGACTGAGCCCTTTCATGATGCATAGCCAAGTTGCATGTGTGCCTTAGAGAATGGCAAAGAATGCAGAAAATGCATGTTTGCTTTTTTAGCTAGGATACAGTGGTACCTCGGGTTAAGTACTTAATTCGTTCCGGAGGTCCGTACTTAACCTGGAACTGTTCTTAACCTGAAGCACCACTTTAGCTAATGGGGCCTCCTGCTGCTGCTGCGCCGCCAGAGCACAATTTCTGTTCTCATCCTGAAGCAAAGTTCTTAACCTGAAGCACTATTTCTGGGTTAGCGGAGTCTGTAACCTGAAGCGTATGTAACCCGAGGTACCACTGTACTGTACTTTTGCTTATAACATGGCCATGCAACACGGTGCGATGAAATTGCAGCTACGTATTTTCTAAGTTTGTAAGTTTTCAGTTCATACACCTGGGTCCACAGATGCAAATAATAATAATAATAATAATAATAATAAGAAGAAGAAGAAGAAGAAGAAGAAGAAGAAGAAGAAGTTTATTATTTGTACCCCACCAATCTGATTGGGTTGCCCCAGCCACTCTAGGCGGCTTCTGGCATATATTAAAACATAGAAAAACCTAAAACCTTAAAAAGCTTCCCTATACAGGGCTGCCTTCAGATGTCTTCCAAAAGTTACCGTATTTTTCGCTCTATAAGACACACTTTTCCCCTCCTAAAAAGTAAGGGGAAATGTGTGTGCGTCTTATGGAGCGAATGAAGGCTGCGCAGCTATCCCAGAAGCCAGAACAGCAAGAGGGATTGCTGCGCAGCGAAAGCAGCGATCCCACTTGCTGTTCTGGCTTTTGGGATAGCCCTGTGAAGCCTCTTCAGGGCAACAGGAGGAACGCTCCCCCTGCCCTGAAGAGGCTTGGCACGGCTATCCCAAAAGCCAGAACAGCAAGAGGGATCACTGCTTTTGTTGCGCAGTGATCCCTCTTGCTGTTCTGACTTCGCTTCGCTGGAGAGGCGCTGCGCAGCTTTCCCTCTCTGTGCATCACCTCTTCAGCAAGGCGGGAGGAGAAACTGAGCCCCTTCCATTTCTCCTCCCGCTTTGCTGGAGAGGCGCTGCGCAGAGAGGGAGAGAATGTTTTGTTTCTTATTCTCCTCCACTAAAACTAGGTGCGTCTTATGGTCGGCTGTGTCTTATGGAGCGAAAAATACAGTATATAATTAC